GTGTTTTTAGGATGTAATGACGCTTTATTACAGCGCTCATGCTGTATTAATTGGAAAACGGCAACTGCACAGAAGTAAAGCTGAGAAGTATCTTGTGAGTATCTACATCCTCTAACTGAATTATCTCTTAGTTTCAACTCAATCAATTGTATAGAAGTACACGGGTATGTTTTTTTTCATTTGTGGCTGAATAGCATTTGACTTTGATATCTCTAATAGAGAGTGTCTTGTTACCTCTGTGAACATATAATCCAGTATTATGCTGTTATTAGATGATTTATACTTCGAGTTCGAGATATGTTTTCTATCATGCATAACTATGTTGGATCAATGATGAGCTCTTAGTTATTGTGAAGAAATTTAAGTTGTAGTACATGAAGTAGTATGTCAATTAAGTGACATACAACTTACATGACTCAAATTAACTCTTACTTTTATGAAATTATAATGTGTACAATTTATAGAATGATTTCTCATTCAATACGCATTATATTTTATTTATCTATTTATAATGTATGTAATGTCACGTGAGACAAGTGGCAAAATGTAAATTTCATGTCACATGTCATGAGTATGTGACTTGTTAAAAGAAAAAATAAATAAATAAATAATAAAGGGTTAAATGGTAAAATAACCATTTATGATAATAACTATTATTTGATGGGAATATTAGTTTTAAGAGAGGTTAACAACTTGAAGTCTCTGGGAAATCTTATTCTCATCTTAAGTTGATTTAATTAATTCATAAAGGTAACTGTCCATAGCACTCATGAGAACCTGCACTGTGGAGAAATGTACCCATCTCCTCTTTTTTAATGTATATTAGAATTATCAATTTCAAGATCCATCTAGGTTTTCTAACATACATTACAAAAGAAAAGAAAAGATGTGTAACTTTCTCACAGTGGATATTATTATCTTGAGTGTTTTTGACTGATATCTTTATGAATTAATTAAATAAAATTAGGAAGAGAACAAGATTTCACTACCTTGATTTCTAGTTCAACATTCTCCCATTATTGATAAAAATAAAATAAAATCAGAGAGCATACATTTATGTGTGAGTAAGAGGACTTTATTTTACATTAGTGGATGTTAATCGCTATTAAAACTGCTATTTTCATTAAACAACAGATGTTATCACAAATTGCTTTTATTTTACTCATGTACCATTTACCCTTTTATTATTTATTACAATTCACATGTCCATGAGACATAAGACTTACACTAGCTTGATTACATTTTTGTGCAAAGTGTCTTCTGTTTCATTGCTTATACTTTTCATTTATTCTTTTCCTTATCAACAAATGGTGCACTGTTTTACATGGATGTTTCTTTATATCTAAACAATAATTGGGGAGCTGAAACCTGAATTGAATTATATAACTGTTGCACTTAAAATCCCACTGAATAATAAGGTAAAGTATCTCTATTTATTTTTTGGCTGAAATCGCAGGTATTCTCCATAGCAGACAATCATGCTAGAACTTGGTAGGACTTGGAAGACAAAGCTCTTCCTTGGAGTGTTTGATACAACTATGCATCAAGGTTTGAACTCAAATACAATATTACAAAGTCTTAGTTTATTTCAATGTTTGTTTAGATGCAATATATGAATGGAGAAAAATACAAAAATTGAATGTAAGGAATTAAGTCTGTCAATTATGATCTGATCTTTAAACTCCTATTGTACATTTAACAATCTTGTGGAGGATCCAGTATTTTGGTGTTTAGATGGTTTTATTTTGGATGAACGGGTCAGTACCAGTGACTCTAAACTTTGTAGCTGAGCTTTCCTTATGCTTTGACAGACTATCTCTCTTAATACCTATATGTTCCTATTCGATGAGTTTTTAGACATTTAAAAAGAAAAAGAATAATAGATACTGGCAGATCAAACCAGACATGCAATCTTGTTTATATGTTCCTTATCAACTATCAGTTCAGGTTGGTTGTATTTCTTTACCCAAGTCCATTTTTAACATTTGAGGTTGACTTAAACCAGCCAATGCATACCACCACAGATGAAGTTTTTGTAGTTAATCATTATAGCTATCCAAATAAGATGAGAACAGATGAAGAGTAAACATCTTCTAGTTGTTTTTGCTTTTTGGTTTTTAAACTACTTGTTTTTGGAAATAATTTCAAAACTTAAATAGATTTTAAATTACAAATTGATTGTTAAGTAGTGTGAAATTATTTTAGGAAACAACTTTCAAAATAAGGAAGTGAAATGGGAATAAAAAACTTGTACATTCTTATTACTGTGCCTTATGTTTTATTAGTTCATTACACCAAAATATGACAATGCTGTCTTCACTTCAAGCACATTTAATTTGAGGAATTGTAGATTCTTCTCAGGGTGAATTTTTATAACAATGGGATGGGTTGTAAAAAATATTGGATTCTGTAATTCTTCCCCTCAGAGAATCTAGCGCTTTTCCTAACAACACGGCCGCAAACAGTATAGCAAATGAATTGGAAATTCTAATTGTTCTGATAATACACACTTTAGTCATTTCATCTTAGAATCATATCAGGTTGCATTTAAGGAATTATAGGGTTCACAGCCCAAGAAAGCATTTAGGCCATTGTGACTTCCAATCGGCATCCCAAGGACCCAAGGCAATCACGCCAAGTTTAGAGAAGAATGGTTTTGATATTTTCTTTTGATGGCAACACAAAGAATCAGAAAAATGATCTAACTGTTGGTATATTAGTGCAAATAAAAAAGGATGATGGAGGGACAATGTCACGAATGATATTGTTCGGCTTCTGATTATAATAGCTTCATAAATGACAAAAATGGAATAAGAAAACATCTTTGAGCCGTTTCTCTTTTTTACTTATGATAACATTTGTCTTGAAACTGATATTCAAAATTTGATGGATTTTGAATAAGAAATCAAATCAATTGATGAGTGGCATAAATTTGTTTTTGAAATAAGTTTTTAAAATAAAAAAAAAAAGACAGTGAAAGAAACAGACCCTTAATCTGTTCTTAAACCTGTTTCATATCCATGTCATTTATTTGTTACTCTTTTCAGTAGAGAAGGAAATTTCTATTTGGGAAAGTACAAAAAGATGCTGTTTATATTTTTTTTTTCCTGGAGCAAATGAGATATTCATTAGTGTGAAAAATACTAGAAACTTATCAATGTTTAGGTGAGCATGTTATGTGGTTTGTTTTTTTTGGCTGAAGCCTGTATGGTTTATATTCTTATTTGTCTTATTTAGTGATAATAGTTTCTTTGTGACATAGAGGGTTTCTGTTCAATTAGTGAGTTTTCTTTTGTTTCCTTAATAATGGTAGGCTAGCGATGGAAATTACTTTTCTGTGTGTGAAGTGGGCAAACAGTCTGTGTCTGTTGACAAACTGGTGGGAATTTTAACCAAAAAACTAGCCATAAAATGCACCTTTTTTTTTTCCTATAATATGGCTCATTCATAAAAAAAAATTCATTATGTTTTTATCATTGCATTCTCTCTCTCTGTACATTGTTCCGTTTTCTCTTGATCTTTCTACTCTTCTTGTCAAGTCCTTTTGGACAACTATTTTCTGCATTTATTGGAATTTACGGATAATTAAAAAAAAAAATCTGAGCTTTTTGGATGAGGAAGATTGCATCAGCTGAAAATTTTTATTCTGCAATGATATTTCTAGAGTAATGAATTTGGAGGTATTAAATCCTAAGTTACTTGGACTTAGTCTTAGGTGCTGGTTGTATTCTTGTATCTAATACATGTATGGACAATTTTTCTATTGGAGAATCGTAGGCATGGATACTTATTTCCAGTCGACCTTTTTGGATAGTTCCTATGTAAGTAGTCTTTTTTGAGACATGACAACGAGCCTGGATTGGATACTTACTAGTGATAAACATATAATAATTTGAAGAACCCTCTCAAAAGGCAGTTCGTTGAGGAGGAGAAAAAACAAAAAATTTATGTACCCCACTGTGCATCCCATTTTACTTGATGAAGGACTTAGTATCTAATAATACCCAAGTCTTCATCATAATCCTTTTCCCGATATGTATGTTAACAAGTTCTAACAATGGGAGGTTATTACCTTAAAGTTAATACCTTGGATATAAGATTTTATCTTGTTGAAGTTATGCAACATTTTAGTCAAAAAAGAGTTTGTGTTAAATACTTGATAGATGAGAAAAAAAGAGAACGCATTGTTTATTTAACTCTTTTTTATTCCTGTTTATAATATATATTGTAGACACTTTGTGAGCCCCTTGGATGAACTTGTTGTATCAACAAATGATTTAGAATAGAATGTTAAAATTTGCTGGACGATTGTGAACTTTCTACAGTTGGTGTACTAGTTTGATTTGTCAAAAATTACAATATTTCAATAAAAGAAAAATACGTGTGAAGTATACCATACACAACTAGGATTTACCTTATCAATTTAGTTTATAAGCTCCACCAAGGTAATCAAATTGAGATTCAAATCATGAATTGTCTAGCTATTTTATGAATCCTCAATCATCATTTGCACCTAATTGTGAGATTATGCTACAAGGAAAATTTGCTTCAAATTTATCATATGAATGATAGTGTTCAATGTTAACTAGCAATTGATAAAACAACTTACGCAGAAGTCATACAAAACAAAACTTTAAGTTAAATTTAAGGTTTTGCTGTCTTTATTAGAAGAATGGAAATAAAACAGTTAAATAGCTAAATAGTGTACATGCATTGGATGAGTAGAGTGAGCGATATAGTTGATTAAAATGTATTGGTGAAAAAGTAAAATCATATGAATTGTATTGATAATATGAAATTATATAGATTCATTCACGTATTGTAAAAACGAAGTTATTTAAGGCTTATCTTGTGATATGAATCGGTAGATAGCCAAAACTTATCAAGTCATAAGATTCAAATTGTGAACAGTAAGATCTTGACAACTGTGCGCCACTTTGCATATTTTAATATGAAGTATAATGGGTTTACATTAGATACTATGTATTTACAAATCAAAACTACTGTAGTTCTTGGTGGAAGGATTGCCTTAGACCCCGGAATTCCCCTTTAAGCTTTGAATACGGTATTAATATGATAGTTCTCAAAAAAAAAAAAAAACACTTTTGGTCAAAGTCAGTTTGTTATTTGGATCAATTCTGACTTGCAACTTCCTTTATGGCAATTAGCCAATAAACTTCCTAGAGTTATCAGAATGGGCCAGCATGACTCAGTCAAGTCGACACTGACCACTGTTTTTTCTCAAAAGTGAGCTAATCCAACCTTACACACCTTTGTGGTAAGCCCAAAAAATGCCAAACAATTGGTGGACTTGTCTTACCTAAATTAAAAATAAAGAAAAGTAAAAATGAGAAAAAAATCCAGAAGAATAGGAAAACATGGCATAAAAATTCACCATTTGAATTTTAGTAGTTGTGGGTTGGGTTATGGATGTAATGTTATGTCATTGAAAAAAAAATGTTAATATGTCTCTATTTAGGCAAATCTCTATTTAATATGCGAGTTTATCAACATCCTTGAGTGGGCTAGCGTCGCTAGCAGCTAAGGTGACTTTTCAACACTCCGCCTTGTGCCTAGGGCAACAGGTTTGGAGTGTGAACAATGTAAGTGACATAAATGAATTTAGGATGAACTTTGATATCTTAATAGAATATGTTGAAAGTAAATATATTTAGTTGATTTATGACAAGATCACCACCCTTTAAATTGCAAGCAAGACAACCCCAGAAGAGTCCGCAACTAAGGCAAGCTAGGAATTAAGCCAGATTTCCAATGAAAGCTCTGGTATATTGAATACTAATTGGAAGTTTTATCCAAGGAAAATATTTTTGTTAAATTCTGGTAAAATTATTGTTTGAAAGACTGGGTTTTGTGTTGTAAGACAGCCTTTGGTTGTTGAATTAAATTTGTGAATAATTAAGATGAGCTGAATTTTTTATTAATTATGTACTCTTGCTTCAAGATTTCCCTTGATTTCTGTGGATGAGTGTGGCCTGCGGATGTAGTGATCATTGTCCTCTCATAATAAATATATCGAGTACTTAAATAGTTATTTATAAGAGGTACATTTTTGCTTCTCTGCTTGTTTTTTCCTATCATATGCATTTGTGTTTGTATATATATTATATGAAAATAATTAAAACTACATGACATGGAGCAATAAACTTTTGTGACGGATTCCTGCAATTTCTGTTCACTATCAACTACTTCTATTGATAATAATGCAATATTTACTATTGGTTTTAGTATAATGTCAGCATGTTTTTAATGTATGTCTGTTTCATGCTTGAATAGAAATGATATACAGATCAGTCCCACTTGTTATGGGATCTCATATCCTAAAATGAAAACTCTTGTACTTCTTTTTAACATGCTCTATATTTTTTTGGTGTTAGAAAATACAATATGCTATTCATTGAACTTCTGTCACTCAGGAGGTAGCAATCGCCTTATAAAGTTAGATCTTATAAAGTTAGATCTTCAATATTATTAGCTTTTGCTGGTAAATATCTTACCTGCATGTCCCATTATTCTTGTTTTCATTTTCCTGTCTTTGCTAACCTACTTGCTGTAAAATGCAATCTGGCTTGAAGAGGACGAGGTGCATGTTCCTTTTGATCAAATCCTCTGACACAAACAAATCCTGAAATAAAGCATGAAATTGTTAATAGCCATTACAAGATTGAACGAAGATACCAGTAGATGCAGATGAGAACTAATCACTGAATGAAGCTTGTAGAATGTCACTCACAATATGATATGAATCACAAGGGGTAATTTAGGATCTTTAGGGTTAGAACCTTGTAAGAAATTTAGGAATTAGAAAGAAGGTGGAAGGAAAAAATCACTCTTCCCAAGGGAGGCAACACACAAAGGATGTGACAGTCCTTTGATACAGCCAAGGGTTATTGAATCACTCAAGAATTTAGGAGAATCACTCTCACTAAGATAAAAGAGATAAACTCTAATATTTCTGAATAAAATTTCACTTGTTATTTCTTGATAAGAATGGTTCAGCTGATATAGAAGCGTTGCCATCAGAATTACAAAAGACTCAATAAAAAAAAAAATACTAATAATAACTCATTAATCTAGGAATTGAAAACTATTTAATGGAAACAAATAAAGGCTAATAATGATCAATTAACCTAGGAATTGAAACTACTTAATGACTGATTGTATCTGAAACTGTGGCAACCAAAAGTCAATCAGCTATGCACCCCTTGGTCTCCCAAAGACTGATGACTAAATTTTCAATTGGGCCCTTATTACAACTTAAAACAAAATCAAACTAAAGCCCATTAATTGTTTAATCCAAAACACAATTTGGTCAACCAACAATACTTGTTGAAGAGTTTCCTTTGTTTCCCTTGCTCTAGCCCTTATCATAGGTCATGTTCACATCATTCTCTCCCTCTTGAAAAGGATTTGTCCTCAAATCGGATTCATCATCTACATTAAAAAGAGATAAGTCTGACAAATTAAATGTAGAACAAACATTATACTCACTTTTTATGGCTAAATAGCTCTCTTTCACTTCAAGTGTTTCACTCTTCTTTTGATCACTTTTTTTCCTCTCAAGTGTTTCACTAACGCTTTCTTTCTCTCTCTTTTCTTGAAGAAGTGTTTCTTTCATTTTCTTTTTATCCTCACATACTTCTTGTGGACTCAAAGGTTTGAGCACAATCTTCTTGTCTTGGTGTATGAAAGAAATCTTGTTGGTGAACCCGTTATGATTAACCCTTTTTTATCAAATTGCCATGGTCTCCCCAAAAGTAAATGACTGACTTCCATAGGAATAATATCACAAAGCACCTTATCATTGTATTTTCCAATGGAAATGTCCACTTCAACTTGTTGTCTCACTTGCACCTCTCCATCCTTACTAAGCCATTGGAGTTTATATGGCCTATGATGTGGTTTGGTATCTAAATTTAGCTTTGATACTAATCTAGCACTAGCCACATTGGTGCAACTACCTCCATCTATGATCATCATGCACACCTTGTCATTGATTAAACATCTAGTGTGAAAAATATTTTTTCTTTGGTTTTCTTCCATAGGTTTCAATTGACTATCAAGTAATCGTCTAATCATCAATAAATCTCCCTTTGGAATCTCTTCCTCCTCCTCCTCAGTGTCTTCACTCTTTTCTCCCTCTTCAACCTCATATTCACTTATATATTCTCCCTCTCTAAGAATCATGGTCTTTGTGTTAGGGCACTCATAAGCATAGTGTCCTAGGCCTTGACACTTGAAACACTTCACATCTCTACTTTTTTTAGAGGGTTGTTCTTCATATTTTGAATGAGTCTTTGTAGGAATAGGTGTGGAACTACTAGAAGTAACAGTCCCATCTTTTTTGCCTTTGTCCTTCCAACTTGAAAATCCAAAGTTGGTAGAACTCTTCTTAGTCACTTCTTTTTTTTTGAGTTGTTGCTCCACTCGAATTGCTTTATGAAGTAAATCCTCCATATCAACAAACTTTTGCAACTCAACAATATCACATATATCAATATTCAAACCACCAATAAATCGGGCCATAATTACCTCTTCATCTTCTTCAATCTTTGCTTGAATCATGAGCATGTCCATTTATTTGAAATACTCCTCAACCCCCCTGTTGCCTTGAGTAAGTTTTTGGAGTTTAAATTTCAAGTCCCTTGCATAACTAGCCGGCACATACCGCTTCCTCATGATCCTTTTCATCTCAGTCCATGTATTAACCATTGGCTCTTCATTTCTATCTCTCTCCTTTTGTAGCTTGTTCCACCAAACAAGAGCATAGTCAGAAAATTTTGTTGTTGCAAGCCTCACCTTTTGGGTCTCCTCATAATTGTTGCATGAGAAAACATGCTCTATTTTCATCTCCCACTCCAAGTATGCTTCTGGATCACTTTTTCCTTTGAACGGAGGAATGTTAAGCTTGACCCCTTCAAGCCTACTTGGTCTTGTTACTCCATCATTCATTCTCCTATTTCTCTTTTCTTCTTCGTCTTCAGGATTTCTATTCTCCAATCGGTTCAATCTTTCATAGAGCTCATTGTTATGTCGTATCATTAATCCTTCCAAATGTTGTACCAATACTCTCATTTGAATTGGACTAATTCCTGCTTCTTGATTATAATTTTCCTCTTCTGCCATCAATTTAATGTTCAAACCTTTAAACCGGAGCTCTGATACCAAATGATATGAATCACAAGGGGTAATTTAGGATCTTTAGGGTTAGAACCTTGTAAGAAATTTAGGAATTAGAAAGAAGGTGGAAGGAAAGAATCACTCTTCCCAAGGGAGGCAACACACAAAGGATGTGACAGTCCTTTGATACAACCAAGGGTTCTTGAATCACTCAAGAATTTAGGAGAATCACTCTCACTAACTAAGATAAAAGAGATAAACTCTAATATTTCTGAATAAAATTTCACTTGTTATTTCTTGATAAGAATGGTTCAGCTGATATAGAAGCGTTGCCATCAGAATTACAAAAGACTCAATAAAAGAAAATAAATACTAATAATAACTCATTAATCTAGGAATTGAAAACTATTTAATGGAAACAAACAAAAGGCTAATAATGATCCATTAACCTAGGAATTGAAACTACTTAATGACTGATTGTATCTGAAACTGTGGCAACCAAAAGTCAATCAGCTATGCACCCCTTGGTCTCCCAAAGGCTGATGACTAAATTTTCAATTGGGCCCTTATTACAACTTAAAACAAAATCAAACTAAAGTCCATTAATTGATTAATCCAAAACACAATTTGGTCAACCAACAATACTTGTTGAAGAGCTTCCTTTGTTTCCCTTGCTCTAGCCCTTATCATAGGTCATGTTCACATCACAATATATTTGTATACTGTATTGGTTGACTAGTTTGATATTGGGTCACATGGAAATGATGATACATAGTGACAGATAAATTTGGGTTAATCTTTTGATTGAAGAAGGTAATCACATAATTGTGGAATTTGAAGGTGGTAGCTGATGATTTAATATGACATTAATATATATGTTATGACAATTGCTTATGATTATTATTTGTCATTTTCCTTATTTGTTGACATTTGACAGTTATGAAATTTTTGCTAAACCTAGGTTACCTTAGTCTAGTATTTTTAGTTTTGGTCCTTGGTGAATTGGCTTCTGATACTGAATTGGTGATCATTTGGAAGAGATAACTGGTGTATTATCTTTTAGCATACCCATTCCAAATATACCACAATCTTTTATTTATGTGAACTTATACCTGCGCAGCATGAATGGTATTGAGTTGAAATTCTCAATGAGTTAGGTTTGGTAAATTTAGATTTTAGTATGCCATATTTATTTTAAACTTACTAATGAAAGGTTTTATTATTTCCTTTGTTAACAAAATGTCTAGCAGGGCAAAAGAAGAAATAAAACAAACAATTTAAGGTGGTTTTCATACCTCTCCAAAAGCAATGCTGAATTTCTTGGGTAGAGAGGCCTGGTAGACATGAGTATTTTTGATGAGTACAAATTTTAAACTGGTCTAGAATAGAAACGTAGATGAGCATATAGAGTTTTTGTACCTCTGAAAATTGATGTTACAGAGGTCCCAAAGTATACTGTCCTCCTTGGCAAATTCCATATCCATGCCCTAGGGATATCAATAGGTTGAACACTGGATTCATGATCCGCAAATAGCTGCAAGATGATCATTTGGTGGTAAATAATTCAAAATGAGGGTACACCTGCTATGATTATCGAATATTGACAAAGCCTTGATATTCATACCTCATTAACTTGAAAGTAAGTCCCATTCAGCGGAAAGCTCCCCCTGGTTGCTGTCCTACAAGGTATCTATATATGGGATAATATTTGTGTAAGTTGTTGAAGAAAAATGAAACTAAAGAAAATATAGTCTTTCATATTTCTGCATCCACAAATTAACCTTTACCAGAAGTGTTCCTCTAACTGTTTGTGAATTGGCTTCCCTAATGCTGTTGCATGAAAAGCATGTGTTGTCATTGCACAGATTGGTTAAATTTTGGGATCCACACCTTCGTTCTGGTGGCTCAACAGAATTTGCAGTCTCACCTTGTGTTCAATGTCAAAAATATAGATATGTGATTGATTGTGATTTTCTTTGAATTTAACCTAGCATGGAAATAACAATAACTTGCATGTGCGACACTGTTACTTTCCAATCTGTCTATTGTACATAGATATTAGAAAAAAGGTAGTTCCTGGAGACTGCTGATGGTATTTTTGTTCACTAATTGATTTCAATTCTTTTGCTAACCTGGTGTCCATATTGCGAGAAGATATGGGCTTGGGTCATCAGGTTCCCGTTTATCCATCTGTAAGTTTTAGTAAACATAATGATGTAAGAAAAATTCTGCTAGCTGATAACTGAATGTTTCTTTACAAAGCAGGGAAAAATAGCTGACCTTTTCCAAGAGAGGATGTGAATCTGGAAGTTCGTATCTGCACCAATCAGGAGGTGTTAGAAAGCATCATTTTCATTTCTAATTATACCAGAATTTTTCTATGCTGGTCACTTAAATAATTTTGTGAACCTTTAAAAAAATGAAGACTAGTTATTCAGTTCTTGAACAGTTTCTAGTTAGATGTACTTTTTCTGGCAAGATTTACGCTTTTACACGCAATGGCCTAATACTTACACTTGGTGTTCAGTTCTTAGTCGACTCACATTCTTCAATTTTGGTGTAGGTATAGAAGCAGACTGTGGAGCCAAGGCAACAAGTGCCTTGGACATGTCACCTTCGTGATGATCTGTGTATTCTTCCAAGTGGTTGTGTACATTCATTGTTGATTCTTTGGCATTGAGCTCAATAAAAAGAATTTCATCAGGATCCTCCCTAAGAAGGTCCTCAATGTCACTTTCTTTGGGATCTGTCCACTGTTGTTCTGGTGTTGCTGGTTCTTCAATGATTGGTTCACACTGCCAATTGTCAGGATTTATTTTTCTGCCCAAGGTGTTCTCAAGGAGAGGTAGGACCATGGGATTCTCGTTGACAAGATAGGTTCTCTCAGCTGCAATGGGGACATGCATGCTTACGACAAACTTCTCTTCTGGTCCAGGCAGGGCAAGCCGAGCACTGTACTAAAGGGTTAGTTGGCTTATATAAAATAAAATAAGTCCCTCATGCACACAATATACTAGAATTATAAAGCTGAAAGAAACATTATTTTTGCTTGATTTATCTGGTTGCTTTCTACGATAGGTTTGTTATTAGCTCTGAATTTCTTCTGTGAACTTTTAGAGGCATCAAATTTGTCTGCCGCATACATTGGCTCTACTTTGGAGTTAAGGAGATGGCAAAGTTTTGGAACTGTCATCAGTCATCCTTCTGATATGATATATAACATTGTGGTCAACATTAAATTGGTTTCGTTCATTGCATCAAGAGTACCGAACAAATTTTAACTAAAAAGGGGTGAAACCATTGTGGACTTGCAATTAATTTTATTAACTGACTGCACCAACATTTAAAACGTAGTATTGGAATCATGGACCTTATGGGGTTCTAGATCTAAGATTTAAATAGGAAACTGAAAACAGCATTGGGAAGAAAAGGTTGATAAAAGTACTCTGAAATAAATACATGTAAAACACTAGGGGAAGGGGAGTAATGGATGCACTGATGCAGCCTTACAAGGAGGGACGGGGATGCTGGAAATTTAAGAATGTTTCAAATAAGTTTGTTAGAACCTTAAATGTCTAAGGGTTGATTTGCATGGAAATTGATATAATAATTAATAAATTAGCCAATCTTTCTGCTAATCTTTCTTTCAGTTCTACAATTGGATTTTCCTACTAATTAAATATCCAGATCTTATTTGTCCTTGCTCTGGTTTCTTTTATTTTTATTCTTTCATTTAAATGACAGTTATTTTATTTTAGTTTTTATATGATTGGCTTGTTTCTTTGAATTTGCTGTGGAATTATAGTCTCAAAGATGTACTTTTACGGAAATATGTGACTTGATTCTTGTGTTTTACTAATCTAATTGATTGACATATATCTTTGAATGCATTTTGCATGGAAATGTATAATGCAACGCAATTGACCTATTGATTAACTAACCTTGCAAAAGCACTAGCAAAGTGCCTGCACTCTGCTCGCATTGGGCATGCATTGCAATTTGGGTTTTTCTTTGTGCAGAAAACCTGCATATTCAGAGCATGAATTACTTTTAACCTCCTATCTCATGCCCTTTTAAGCAAAAGCTAATTCTAGAAAAATGTTATACTAAATGTATAAGAAAATTGTGCATACCTTCCCAAATGTAATCATCTGGTAGTGCAGCTCATACCTGCATTCATTTATTATCTGTTAGAGATTTATCTATATCATATTAAAGGAGTAATTTCTAATGCAGGTTTTAGGGGTTATATACAAGGTTCTTTGATCGAGTTTACACAATCTGGGCCAGAGATACTTCTGAACTGTTTCCAGCACTGGATACCTACATGACAAAATAGTTAGCACTTTCTCTCTCTCTCTCTCTCTCTATCTCTCTATATATATATATATATATATATATATATATATATATATATTCTCTGGTTGGGGTGGAAAGATACTTACAGTTCAAGGAGGTGTAACTGAAGTGTTTCAGGAAGTGGTTGGAGTGGGACCCATCCGAGTCTAACGGCTATCCTTCCAACATTGGTGTCAACCTTGAAGACATGATTCATGGCAACATGTTATTGCAAGGCTTTTTAGTGAATTGCATTTGTTATAAGCAGTTAATGGATTCCAATTGAGGCTTACTGGGAAAGCAATATGATGAAGTGTCAGAAGCCGTACACATTCCACACTTTTTAACCCCAACCCTCGAATGCTCAGCAGATAGTCCCTGCATTTGATATTAAAATATTGAAAGGACATGGTTAATTTGCATTACTTATTTACTGTCATATGCAGTGAGTTTTTGGGATAGGGATTGGTGGATGGTGATAGAAGGAATAAAATGTGGTACTTTGCTTTATCTTGGGGAACATGTCTTAACCATTCAAGATCAATGCTTCCATGTTCTGTAACCAATCTGTTCAGGAAATCCTGAAATATAACAGAGGTCCTTTTCTAAGTCTATATCTTGGCCAAACATCAGTGTTCTACATAAAAGTTGCTTTGAACATACTTTGATTCGTTCTGCTAGCATGTTGTTCATTCCACGCTCTTTAATTGTTTCTGATATCTTTTTGACAGAGGCACTTCTTACTGCTTCATAATCCAATGAATCCATTGTATCCGTGCTTCTTTCTTTCTCTGTCCCATTTATCTGTACCTCCTTTCTTAGTTTGTCCCAGTCGCATGCATGCCTTTTGTCGGCCTCAGGTTTTTCTTTCCTTGTATTTGAAACCTTGGTTTTTCTCTTTTTATCAATAGGGTTGGGAGAATAAACTTGCTTCGGAGGATTTGGTTCACTCATACTATATTCTGAGCATCCTTGGCTGTTTCCTGCAGAGGTAGTGTTTTCACTGTCAATACCTTCTTTTGCTTGCTTAGGAACAGTGCAACTATCATTAATAAGATCATCATGACCTCCGCACAACATGTGAGAAGTATTTAATGACTTTGTATATGCGCTGCTTTCTGATTCTACGGCTTTCTGGCCTGCAAGATGATGATTAAGTGAAGCTTGACAATAATTTGCATGAGATCCAAATTGAGAGGTGTCTTGTGGAAGTACTAAATGCTTGCTTAGTGGTCCATATGGGTCAATTTTTTGTAACTCTGGAGACCCTTGGGTTCCATTTCCATACTGAATCTCTCTGAGTTTATCTGCATTATCTTGGACTCCCCTATTGCCAAATCCCCTACAATAGTTGTCCTGGACTTCTCTGCGTACAAAAACAGTTTCAGTCCTAGAAAACTCTCCACCATTCATTTGAAAAGTCTTCAGCCCATGTGTGTCTGAGTAATATAATCCATAGTCAGTTGAAGTAACTACAGGTATTTCCTTCGGTGGATAAGCATAGCTGCTATAATGACTAAATGCTGAGGAGACATTGGGACTATAGTTTGCGCCTACTCTACAACTTCGCTTCACATGTGCTGCTGAATGCAGCTGTCCTTCTTTATCTCTCTCCTTAAACAGTGATACTCCATTTACGCTGTTGTAAAATTCCTGGAACGCAGTGGCTTTTCCTATCTGTAAAGAATTTGTTGAAGTTAAATTTGTTTTTCTGTGTTCACACCTGCAGTCTAGTTCTTCAGATTCTGAATTGGATCCTAGGGAGGATCTAGTTATAGCATCTTGAGTAATTGAGGAGTCAAGAGAATATGGTGATGATAAAATTTTTTCCTTTGAGCTCTGATTATTTGGCTTTATTGGGCTCCCTTTTGGCGTTGAGGCTTCACTGCCTGTCCAAAGCTCTCTTGCATGATGAGGTGTCTCAAAGCCGTGATCATAGGTTGGTTGATTTAATGTTCCAAATCCATTTGATGCTATTGTATCAGATGGATTTACTGTGCAGAGTTCTGCTTCAAGCAATATGTTTGTGTCAACATCATATGATTTCTTGCTGCTTTTTGACTGAAGAGGAAACCTTGATGCCAGAGACATAAAGGCAGAGCTGCAAAGAAAGTAAAGATTTTGGTTATGCATCCTGAGTGATGCAAGCACCTATGACTAATATTTAGCTTACCTCGAAAGGTGGTCTGAAACATTCTGAGTGAGGAAAACACCTATCACTGAGTCCACAACAGATCCTTTCCACTTTGAAAAGCGTCTATCTCCTGCAAAGTAGATGTATAATTGGTTTTGTAAATATATGTTGACTAGTGGATAATTTAGGAATCAATTGAATATTTTAATAAAATTATTTTTTTCAGCTTTTGCTATTATAAATTTGCTGAACGGTTGTTGCTGAAAATATATGGATTTTATTGTTTATTCATCCCTGGGTGCCTCCAGATGTTTCTCTTCTTTGGTGTTAAACTGTTCTTTAGAATTCATGCTGTTAGAATATTATAGATGTTAAAATGTATGTAGGTTTGTGCTTGTGCTAGCAGTACTAGTATTCAACTAATAGTTATGATAGGAGTATAAGATAGGGTACGGTATCACATTAATCATTTTTCTCTCTTCCCCTCCTAAACCATTAATTCCAGCACATTTTAATATATCCAAGAATTTTATTATGAGAAGTTCATTGTTAATTATTTTGACTTGGGAAGAAACTGAGATGTTATAGGTATTGTAGAAAGTAATAAAATGTCTGTTAAAGTAATTATTATTACTTGCGAAGAGGCCTGGTTTAGGCCTCGTGGTACTTGATGTTTGTGTCTGATGTATCTTACCTTGAATTAGATGCATCCGTGCTATGAAGGAATCAACTCGTCCGCGAAAAACATTTCTTTCTCCTTCCCACCACTTATCTTTTTCCTCAATTCCTTCAAGGCCTTCATTTCCTCCTTTCCCCATTAATAGTTTCCAGGTTCTCTCTGTTTCTGGGTCAAGGTCCACTTTAGGCTTTGGTTTGTGTTTTTTAACTAACTCAAATTCTTGGTAGGGTACAACTGAATGATCTCCATCATAAGGAACAAGTATCTTTTGTCCTTCCATCTCTGATTGGTTGATCTCCCCAAGTTTGAGATCATCCAGTTGACAGATTATCTCATCCACCAGAGTGGAAAATGTCTGGTGTGGTTCCTCTGAAAATTGAGAACAGATAATTATTATTATATGTTTAGTGAAAATTACATTCCTTTAATAAAACACAATACCTGAGGTAGCAAAGCATTTGCCAAAGCTGGTTCCATTGATGTGCTGTTCTACAAATCTATTACTTTCAATACAAATATTTGGCATTTCTTCATTAGACTGTGTTAAAAATCTTTTTTTGTCTTTTTTTCTTGCATTTTGGGGATTCTCCTTATACATGTTTTTGCTTGAAGAGCTTCCACTGACTTTTGCATCGTGTCTGTTTTGTGTTTTAATAATATTCTGTTTTCTACCTGCATCTTTGGCAGGAGTTGCTCCTTTGAAATTTCCATCAGCATGTAAAGTTTCTTGGCACAAAGAAATATCAAGTGAATTTGTGGCCAAGTCATGTTTGTTCTCAGTGCTTTTGCAATATTTTCTCTTGGATCTCTTTGCTTTAACGGATTTGGAGAGGATTTTAGGAACCAACGCAAGGGTGTTTTGATAAATCAGTACTCCGGTCCTCTGAGAGTTTTCAAAACATGTTTCTGATTGATAGAGGATGTTATCAATTTCCTTTGCACGAATATATTGTTGCATACATCCATTATTTCCATCCTGGCTCAAATCAGGATTTCCCTGAGCTGGGACTTCTTCATTGACTGGAAATTTTGCTATCTGTGGTTCTTCTGTGATTGCTGACAAGGTTGTGGTTGATTTTCTTTCTGACTGGAAATTATCAAGTTGCTTATCATGCAGTAGAAGTTTATTATCATATGTGTTTCTGGGTAGGTTTTCTGTTGTATCTTCATCCCACAGCAAAGTTGAGTTTGCATCAAAGGTTATAGTTGCTCCACCCATCATCTCTTGGGCCTTGCGGTCTGAAGTGGTATTGGAAGCTTTTATATTTGTATGGTGGATATCCTGATGACAACCTATTCTGCCCTTGCTTTGATATTTACGATGTTCTAAGTCAAAATTTAGAGCTCTTCTGCAGGATTTTTTAGTTGTAGCAGTAGAATGAACACTTTCTTCTATAACATTAGTCTGTGGTGTCATGGTGGATTTACGGACATACTTCCTCTTTTTGCGCAAACTCTCTTTCACCTGTGTCTTTTGAGTTACAGGGTTTGGAGTTCTTTTGGGCTTGGCCTCTGCAATTACCTTTGGTCTATGCTTTCTTCGTTGGGGTGCTTTCTGCTCCGGTGTCTTGTTCAAGTCAAAACTGGGATCAATTACCTTGCCACAAATGTTGTCAGAACCCTTTTGATTCCCATATATTGTAGAAATTGTTGCAGATGATGAATTAACAATTTGCTGTAGAAGTCCATCACAATATTCCTGAACTTGATTCACCGTGGAAGCAACCAAGTCCTTTTGTTTGTCTTTCTCCTGACTTGTGCTTTCAGTTATTGCGTAATTTGATATTGTACAAAATTCGTTTTCTACAAATTTGAGTTGATCCATCGTTTTTGGAACTGATGGGAGAGCATTGGTAAAACTAGCAGTGGCATCAGCTTCAGCTATTGGCAGATAGTTCAGATTATAATTATGGTAGGAATAACCTGGAAAAGCAGTTTTAGTGGCTCACTAATCAATTGTTGAAATCATAACAAATGCAGGGAGGTATTGCTTAAACAGCTAAAAGAAATGGAGTTTGTTTTGTTTTTTAACATCACAATCTTTATCATGTCTCTTTGTTGCTTACTTCATAACATGTGTGAAGGATATGTGTTCCAGGTAATCACAATATAGAAAAAAAAATTATTAAAGAAATTTATTGTCTTCGTTCATTATCAATGTTTATAAATTTATGTTTTTTTTTTTGAAGAAAAATCACTTTTAATATCACTTGATGAGCATCAAATATCTGTTGGGCTTATGTGATTGTCAAATAGTACTGATAATTTTCTTTTCCCCCTTCCTCTCTCTTTCATTGCTTGGTTGCAGAAGTTTCAACCATCTTGAGTCAATGATATAATCTATGAAAATATTGGGGTATAAATTACTCGATTGTATTTCTTTTTTCATTTTTAGGATATTTGAAACAAATTGAAAGCTTGTTAGGTTAACTATACCTTGTTAATACAATTTGATATCCTTATTAGGGTCAGCTTCTCTACTATAGTTAGTTTTCAGCATAGTTTGCTCATATCTGTAGAGTTATCAATAACTGAAGCTTGCTATAGTAAAATAGGTTTTATAATTCTCATTCATATAATGAAATCAATTTATCTCCCTACTGTTATTCAAATATACGAAACAATGTGCTTCTCTAACTCTTGGCTTGTTCTCTTCTCCTCCTCCGTCAATGTTGACAACCACTTTTTCTCACAACCTCTAAAAAACTTGACATAGAATTATCTCCTATGGTGTCAATAGGTTGAACTTACTATTAAGGGACACCATTTTCATCATCTCATTTCTTCGTAAATTTGCCATGTAACTGCTGAGTATCTTATGTGGGAACAAGAAGATTGACTTCTCCGGTCGTGGCTTCAATTGTCCATGTCCAAAGAAATACTTACCCGTGTTATTGGATACAAACCATTGGGCAGCGTTAGGACAACATTAATTTGTCACTGCTATGATCATGAAGCTTCTATCTACTATCATTGTTTTGAAGAAAATTATGTTCCTATTATGCCTTTGGATTTTCCTACTTTTCCTACCTTGGCAAACATGCAAAAGTTTCTAAAACTGAATTTGATGGCTCTCTCATCCTCTCACGAAGTAAATACATTCACGATCTTCTCAAAACTAAATGGATGAGCCAAACCCATAGCTTCTGCAATGGTTTGTGGTTGCAAAATCACCAAGCAAGGATCACATCATTTTTTGGATGTCACCTTATATTGTTTTGTTGTAGGTGCTCTTCAGAATGCTACTCTCACCAAACCAGAAATCAATTTCACCATCAACAAAGTTTGTCAATTCATGTCTCAGCGTCCTGAACAACACTAGGTTGCCGTTAGGCTAATTTTACATTATTTCAAAGGCATGATTCACTGGGGCCATCATTTTCAACCAGCTTCTTCCAATCTTCCTCTCTCTTGAGGCTTATTGTGATGTTGATTGGTGTCCAACCCAGATGACCACAGGTCCACCTCAGCATCCATATTCCTAGTGCCAAATCTTATATCTTGACAATTCAAGAAGCAGTTTGTGGTATCTCAGTCGAGCACAGAAGCAGAATATCGCAATATTGCACACGCCACAATTAAAATTGTTTGTATTCAAACTTTATCATATGAAATTAGAATTCTGCATATCACTCCTCTTGTAATTTGTGATGATATTAGCACCGTAATCTTAACACAATCTTGTTCTTCATTCTCACACCAAGCGTACGGAAATAGATCTCTTGCTTTGAGAAAAGATTGCTTCCAAACAAATTCAGTTTGGTGATCTTTTCACCAAATTCTTGCCTCCTACTCGATTCATAACTCTTTGGTGCAAGCTCACATTCTCGATTCACATGCTCACCACCACTCGTGAGCATGTAGGGGTGTATTGGAGTATATAATTACTCGGTTGTATTTATTTTTCTTTTCTAGGATCTATGTAACAAACCAGTTTGTTAGCTAGCTCATCTCTGTATTGTTATAAAAAGCTGAAACTTCCTATGTTAAAATGGGTTTTGTAATGTCTCTCATTCATAACGAAATCAGATTCTCTCCCTATAGTTGTTTTAATATGGATATTAAGTACTTTACACAAATTAACTGTTGTGGATCCTAAAATCCCTCTTATGGACCCTAGATATTCAGTTCATTATCAATTTATTAGTTTAAGCTCGATGGCTAAATGTGACATGCAACTGAATAGTTTAATATTTATTCATCTAAACTTTATTGTGTTGCAATAAGTAGAATAGCATTCGAAAGGATTGTGATAATTAAGATTATCTCTGTAGCTGAATTGCGGAAAAAAAGGAAGTTACCATAGGATATCTCAGAGAAGATGGCATCCAGTTGGTTTGGGACTGGACAGTAAATGTCTTCGTTGAGCAATCTGTTTGAGTTACTAGAACCAAATTCAAAATTCGTATTTGGAAACAGAAGTCTATTTGCTTCTTTGAACACAATCTCTGAAGCTGAATGGATATTGCATTCCTGTACACCTGCATAGGGATCACTCACAGCATCGCTAGCCTGAGGATAAAACTTTGGCAGCATTGGATTATTTCGTGCCATGTTATTGCTCGCATCCAAATTCCTGTTAGCAGAAGCTATATTAGTTGAGTTGTTGAGCAGTAGTTCCAAGGTGTTACTGTTTGATCCATTGCTCTCATAATGGCACGGGTGAGTGTAGGAGTCTGGAATGTGATCAAGATCAATGTTTCTATCCGTCAAGTTGCCATCAAACGTCTTTTTCTCTTCGGTTTGACTAGTTTGTTCAATCAGAGGGATACTCTGATTTGGTCCTGGGTAATGCAGCAGCTTCTCATTCATGTAATCACTTCCAGGTACGCGGATTTCTTGATAATTTGCTCTTTTTATTTGGTTCATTGGCCAGGCTGATGGTATATTAGATCTTAGTAGAGTGAGCTTCTCTGGGATGATGGGTACCCATGTATTGTTCATTTCAACTTGTTTCTCATCTTGCCCCAAAAGTTGTTTTCCAAAGTTCATCATTGAAATCCTGAAATTACCGAGAAATGGAGTATATATTAGTTTATGATGGATGTGATACAAAACATATATACAATGCACCTATTTATACTAATATCGTGGATCCGGTACAAGTGCATAACTAGTACAGGCCAATAAGACGATTCTTAATAACATTTGGTAATATATTACATAAATTGTTAGGGTGAAAAGGCAAGACAACTGATAAACACGCATAAAAAATATGGTATCTGAGGGACCATATTCGACAATTAAGCAAGAAACAGTTTTAAAATTCATTCGAAAAAAATGCTCTGCAAAATAACACTGGTAGGCTACAAAAAGACTTTGAACTCCCATTTTAAACTGTGCTTCCTAAGCCCATTTTTTATTTTCGACTACAATTGAAAACAACCTATGTTCTATATTGAAATAATAAGCTGAATAGAAAAATGACAACGTTCTGTTTTACGTTTTTAAAAGTGAATCCCTATCAACGTCAGCTAAATGCTATACCACATCATGGTCTTGTTCCGCATCTGAAGTAACATTGTCATCTGTCCACCGATTAGATTAGATTCAGCAGTAAAATCGTGAAACGTTCGTCAACATAAATGTTCATTCAATGTCATATAACATGGATAAATTTCATTAGGTTTCAAACTCATCACTTTTTCTATATCTATAGGTTAATGTTTTAAGTTATGCTACGGCGAAATGAATATAAGCAAGAAAACTTCACGGAACATTCACACAGAAGTCTGTAGCTGATGTTACTCGAAATGAAACATTAGTCGTGTAGGCCAAGAATAAGATGCATAAAAATGATAGGATAAAAAAGCAGAAGTAAGACTGGATGATGCATGCGTGTTAGGATTGTAAATCATGGGTGTTGAATGGTCATTTTAGGTTCTATATTATATATCTGATCAACAGGCATTACCATTGACACTTAAAATTCTCCAACCAACACAATAAACACCATAAAGACAATCAACTAGCACATTTCAAGCCTAAAATATATTCATCTTACTATTGTTTATCTATAGACAATATAGTTCAAACAAGGTTATTTGTGTTATTCCTATCTATATTCTCAAAACACCTTCAATTCAAAATATGTTAGATATTTAAGGAGAAAGACCAATGACCAACAACTACTGACTGATCTCAACAAAAAGAGACAAAAAAAAACGGTAAATGAAGAGCCCAATGTAGGATCTCACCTGCTATGTTGCTGCTCATCCATCTGAAGAAATTTCAGAGTTTTATTATCTGAATGGAGCTAAAGGTACAAGTTCTACAGCATTTCTTTAGCAGTGTTTGAAATTGTATTTTACCTACGTTAGATTTGCCTGAATAATAGAAATGGTGATGTATTCAAAGATTTTTTTTACTTTTAACCCATTGTGTAATCCCGACCTGCCAAAATTCCTCTCAACACATTCCTCACCATAGCTACTGCAACATTACAGTATAACATAAAAGAATAAAAATAAAACTCCTCCCAGGCGTGAATGGCCCGATTTAAATGCTGAAATGAATGTCTTGAACATGGAAACTAAAAGCAGACGCACGGGTATCCAACAGAATACCAAAAGAACAGTTTATGATTTTCTGTAATCTGACTCTATTGACTGATTAGAATCCGTTTTTAATAAATTGGATTTTGTCACAATTACCGATGATAAAATGGAATCTTGAGAATCTTTTTGAAATGAAGGACATGTAAATCATGCATTGATTTTGTTCATTGAATAATTGTAAGTAGAACATGAATATGAAATGGTATTAAAAAAGTAACATTGTTTTGCAAGCTCAGCTCACCGATCTGTGTGAGCGCCTCACCAGACTTTATGTATAGATAATAGACAGTCAATGCCGGAATGGAAACAGTGCGAGTCTTTCATAGAGAGAGAAACAACGGTGGGGGACAAGTGAAAACGATAGATTATAGTAACTTAAATTAATAATAAATAATATTAAGAACAAAATATGTTAGTTTAGGACAACACCCTTTGTGTAAAAGAATCTTAACTGAACGAACACTCACACACACCCTCCATTAATGTTTTATCTTTTGCTTCCCCAACGCCTTTTGCTTCTGTTTATTCTCTTATCCATTAATGACTTTACGAAACAGAGAATCGGGTTGTCTCCACCCTTTTCTGACCTTATTTTATAACATTTACTCCTGATATCATGTTTTCTGAATCAACAGTTATTATTACCGTAGTAATTGTTTTAGTCACAGGTTGCAAGTATCTGCTTTGGATGTTACTACAGTCTCGCATTGATACGATATTAGCTGAACCTGCATGAGAAGGGTTGAGGTTATTTTCTTGTCCATATCTCTTTATTATAAATTTATATTCCTACTGTTGTTTCTTTTTTTAATCCACCAGTTGTTTCACTGAACTTATCTGTCAGCAACACAAATCAATAAATTCTATCAAACTTCTAAAATTATGATTATAATTTACAAATTACAATCATTTAGTTTAGTCCTTTCGTAAAAAGCAAATATTTGCATTTCCCAACATCAAAATAGATGTTCATATTTGTTTCTTATAGAAACTCTATTTTCTTTTATACCGTTAATTTATTTTGTAGGCAGATGAATTATGTAGGTGAAAGCTCACGTCTATTATGTACCTAAGTGACTGTAATTTTAACCTTTTAAAAAATTTCCAAATTAACTAATGTTTTTAGTTTTAAAAGATTGATAATATTTGTATTACACTGTGTGGGACGAGACATTTAGTCCTAATTGTTCTTATATTTATTGAATGACCAGTAATATTAAATATAATTATGGATTAAAAGTCATATAGTTTTATTAATAATTTCAAAATAAAATTTAAATTTATTATATTTTAACAATACTCCTTCAAACCTTAGAATTTTTAGCCGTATAATTTAGATTTCACTTCTCGGTTAAATGAAATTATGATCGAAGATGAAACATATAAAAGATAAGATAAATTTAGAAGGATGAGGACGAGAAACATTTCAAAAACTTTATATAAAGAATATAACAAAAGGTCTACGAAGAAGAAGTACAAAGAACCTAACACAATAATAACAAGAGAAAAAAAAGAATTTGAAGAAGAAATTATGAGACATAATAAATTTTATTAAGGTTTAGGTATATGCATTGAAGTAGAAAATGATAAAATACATGCATTAAATTAAGAAGATATAGATAAACTAATACATGATTTTAACCACTTTATAATGAGAAAATTATAATTCTCTTCATCTCACCTTTAGGCAAGCTTATGAACAACTTTGGATTCATCACCCTTGGTTGGTTTAACTAGATTAAATTAGTTTGGAAATTTGAATTTATTTTATATTTAAATTAGATTAAATTTATATTTATTTAATTATTTAATTTAAATAGAATTAACATAACTCAAATAATCATGTTTGACTTAATTAAAAGTTTTAAATAAATTTAATTTAAAAACTTTAAAAATAGGTTAGATTAAAAAAAAATTGTATCTTAAATTAAAATTAGTAATTTTAGCTTGATTCGTGATTTAATAAATTTATGTGAGGTTATTATGTAATCTCTGTTTTAAAAATTAATAATTATTTTTTAAATAAAAATAATAATATTATGAATTAATTTGGGAAGAAATACTTTATTATTTGGTGATGAATCTTGCAATTTATATATTAAATTATATATAAAATAAAAATTAACTTTATTAATATAATTAAATTTTTTAATGATATATTTTTTTATATTTTGAATTAAATTTTTATATAAATATGTTATAATTTTTTATTACCTTTCAATGAAATCAAAGTTGGTAATTGATATACTACAAGGAAGATAGATATATTTATTACTTTATTTCGATCTAACTTAACATCACCTAACCCAATTCGATAAGATATGACTTATTTGATTTTATCAAAATTAACTTAACTCTAATTAATTTTAGTATAATTAAATATAATATTGTTCACCATAAATCTAACTTAATCTACATTAACATATCTTAACCTACCTCATCTTATACACTACTAAATTTATCTTATTTAACAATCTCAATTGTGACTCAAACAAATCTAGATGGTCTTTAAAACATATTTATTAAATTGTTGACTGAATTTATTTTTATTCGTTGAATTGGAGAGTAGAATACATTTTTCCAATTTGAATTTATTATTCAGATTTCAATGCTTCTATTATGAGCGGATCTCAATCCGCTGGTGTTGGAAAACTGATTATAGTTTTAATTCCTTCTATGGTTTCAACAAAGTTTCCAACTTTTACTTATTCATTTTTATAATAAATCCTTCGATTTTATAACTGTATATTCTTGCAGGTTTTTTTAATTCCAGGGAACTCTAATAAGTTTTTTGTATTCATCTTATCATTAACCTTCATCTTAAAAGATAAAAAAATAAAGGTATTATTAAGAAGTGGTTATGGATTCATGTTAAGAAATCAAAAATATTATTTTTATTGAAATTTATTCAATGCTTGTACTTTAAATATTTTAAAATGTATTAATATGTTCTCATAATAAAAAATATATTAGTAAAAAATAACTAGCCAAGATTCAAACTCTCCATCATGTTCCACCATTAAATTCATGCATGCACATATGTTAAAGAAAACCTGCATATATCATTCAATATTCACTTAGTTTTATAACTTTAAAACGTAATCAAAGCAGGGATGTTAGATATCACAAATTATGTAATGATATCAATACCTATGATATTATTTGTATAACTTTATTTATTTAGAGACAACAAAATCGCTTTTGATATTATTTGTATAATTTTAGCCCCTTATCCATAAATGTTAAATTTCCTCATCCATAAATTTTGAACATGTAAAAAAAAAAAAAAAAAAATCACAAGTGAGCCCATTTTTTTCTTGTATGGGCATAAATGAAATATAAAAGAATGGGCTCTTACTTATTTTCATTTTTATAATTTCTCATTGCACTTTAATATCACAAGTTAAATATCAAAAATATTTTTCTTATAATTTTATTTTTTATTCTGACTTCTTCTTATTTTATTTTTTACAACTTCTATACCTCTATCCCTTGGTTATTTGATTTTTTTGTTATCAACTTCATTGAAGGTCTTTTTTCTAACAATTAAAGATAATTAAATGTTAATATTATATATAAATTACATGTTTTATATAAATAGATCCAAATTACTCAATTTAAGACAGTATTGTGAAAATAAAGTTGAATTTTGAAACAATTAATCCGAATACATTTTTAAATTGATCTTTTTTGAAATATAGTTTAGAATATTCAATCCAAAATATATTTTTATAATGCACTTTCTAAACTATATTTTTAGAAAATCAATTTCAAAAAATAATTTTGGAATACATTACGGGAAAACTAATTCCAAAAATTATTTCAGTTATAACAATTTTTTTGAAAAAAAAATCCAATTTTTTCACTTTCTGTAACGTGTTTCCAATAACAAAATTTATTACATAAATATATAGATGTAAAAATTTGATACAATAAAAAAAGTTAGACATTCTTATTTATTTTTGTAATTTTTAAAATAATAAAAAAGAAAAGAATGAAATTGTTATAATAATACTTAAAAATCAATGAGAAAACCAAAAATAAACACAAGATAAAAATAAATATAAAGATAAAATGAGATTTAATTTAATTATAGAATTTAGTAAGAAATTAACGGATGCTGCAAGAAAATAAGCCCAAAGAATTGAGGTGCATTACCTGACAGTGCCCCACCAAATGCTATCATATGGAACAAAAGCACTCCTAAATATAATATTGGTCCATCATATGATAAAATAAAATTTTAAATAACAAAAACCTAAATATTTTAAAGGATGTTTAAAAATGAATAAATCATATAAAATAATGAATAAAATATATTTTGAAAGAAAGGTGTAAGATTATTAAAAACTATAACACATAATTATTAAATAAAATGTACAATCATTCATTAGCTTAAAATTTCTGTACCAAAAAGAAATTACTTTTAAAATTAAGATTTAATCTCTTGGCGTATCTAAAATTTTGAAACCTTTATTGCTTTGCCTCTTTATTCCTTCCGTGTTCCTTTGTCTTCCCCACAATCCTTTTCTCCAAAACTGGAAGATGCTTTCTGAGTTTTGTTTTGACACGTCTGCCTCAACTTTCCACTCAAAATCTTATTTGCCTGCTGCTCTTTAGTGTATATATTAATGTCATATAACATCAATCTAATTAACTCTGCATTTAAAAGAAAAAAAAATTTGTGATATGATTGGTCAGAAAGTATAATTTCGTAAGATAAACCAAATCTTTTTTTTTTTTTTAAATGTAGTTTAAGTTATCTTTTACATACTCATTTTATCCGTAATTTAAATAAACTTCAACCAGTCTAAATCATAGATTTATAATATGACGTATTTTATATTTTATTAAAACATATTCATAAAGTATAATTGATATACACAATAATTACTAAAATATATACATGAACTAGATTAAACTATATTAAACTGTTGAGGAAATAAATTCCAAAAAGGAATTTCTATGATCTTAGTTATTTTAAAAAATGATTGAATCTCACGTTGTCATGTATATGCAAACCAAAACATGACTCATCTTTCCCCATTTGTGTAATTTCATGATAATATTAACTTAAAAAAAATATTTTCTATTGAGTTGAAATTTATATATAAAAAAAAACTAAACGAATTTCTTTCATAATTTTATTATAAAGCTTAAAGATTGAAACAAGTTATAAAAAAGTCAATGAAAAAAAAATACAAACCATTACATAAGTTTAAATAAATGGTATAAGAAAATCTTGTAAAGATCTTAAAGTGACTGGTTAAAAGATGTTCATAGGTTACACAGATTACAAGGGTAGAAAAAGTTGTAATCCTATACTTACCATCCAATTAAAATATGGTAAAAAAATTGTTGATTTATAAATGCACCAATATATCATGTATTAGAAGTTGTCACTAACCTAATTATATTTGAGCGTCAAATACATCTTTTTATATATGCGGTTGTCTCACACTCTCTCTCTCTCTCTCTCTCTCTCTCTCTCTCTCTCTATATATATATATATATATATATATTGAGTATAAAATAAGTTCTGGACCTCACGTCAGATCCTGTAAGGAGTCAATGAGTTCAATACATAAGAAAATAAAAGCCACTAATAACTTTCATTATATTTGTTTGCATAGAAAAAAAAATGTTTAAAATCCAGAAAATTATAAAATATTTATGAAAAATGGAAAAGAAGGCTTTTCTGAGATCACATGATAATTCCCTACATGTCCACTAATTCGACAGGGTTAGTAAACCAATCCTCCTCTTTTTTCTTTTTTTTTCCTGTTCATCAAATCTATAGACCATTAAATCCACTTTTTATCTGCTAATGCTAATCCCAAATCCCAAATTATTATTGCAGTAAATTATTATCATTTTCTTCTTCTATATTGAATTCTTAATATCAAATGTAGAGAACACAAGCAACAAAGTTCTAACAGTATGGTTGCTTGAATTGAAAAAGTTGCCTGCTGAACTACGTTGGTAAAAGGTTACTAAATTCACATAAACACTCTCAAAATGAATCCAAAAAGCTCTTAATGCGTGAAGTTTTAAACTGCACTACCAAGTAGAGTGAGTTTGTGCTGTACTACGTGTTTATTCTAAGGCAGTTTTGTTTTTTTCTTTTTGTCATGCAGTCTCTAGTATGTCATAGTGACCATATCCATGAAATAGCACATTGATGGAATTCTCCTCTTTATCGTTCCTGTACTCTTCACCATATTTTGCTATGTTTACCAAATCAACCGAGGCTGTGTCTCTCATAAAAACAGATATTGGTGTCCTGACAAATTATGCAACTGTTAGATAAAGAGAAATGGGAGAATGGAAAATAAAATAATAAATTCCAAAGAAGGCATACCATCATGATCACATATAATCCCAAAAAACACATTAGAGTGGTTTGGGCTATATATCATACGAGTGTCTTCAGTCTATAAGATTTAACAATTATATACCATCTTGCAAATATGTAAAAATGTTTGATCGATTAATCAACTTTTGTGATAATGATTTGAGTGTTTAATTGTGAATACATATACTAATCCTATTTGATAGATGTTGTTATGACAACAATTCTAGTAGATATTGTTATTTTATGACAACTATTATACATGGACAAATATCTTATGTTCTCGATTCTAAAACTTACTTCAAAACATGAGAAGCCATCAACAGCTCTGGTTCTCCACCCCACACATAAGGCTCTTGAATTCTCTTCACATATGTATCGAAATCCCCTTCTATAAACCTACAGACACATAAAAAATAACAGATAACCAAGTCAAGAAAAACAAATTCCAAAAGAATCATATATCTTCATATTGCAAACTTACCATTCTGTTTCCTCCCGCCTCTTCAGCAGCTCATCTACTACCTAAATTGGGATACAAAGATTGTTAAAGAGAAAATGAAAAATAACAAAAACTTGTTTTAATTTTTTAAGCTCTGGAACACAATGATCATACTTTAGCTCTCAATTCATCGGCCAATTCCCTCTGACGATTCTCATCAGGTGCTTTTTCCCCATTTCTCAAGCAAGCTCCATGAGCTATTGCTCTAAACAGACACCGACCATCAGCAGGTACCCCTGCACCATTCAGTGAGAACTCAAAAATGGATCCACATATTAAATTCATTCCAATCTTCATATGCAGTTTCTTTACCTCCATGCCAAACAGAATATCACCAACAAAACAAAAAAATACTAAAAAATGAAACTGACTCAACAATACCAATTTAAAAGCCTCTGAATATTGGGCTTCTCTAGAAAATTCCCACAAACGTAAAACTCTTCATCTTGTTTAATCGTCTGCCGAAAGACCATCAATATGACCATGTTCAATCCAAAAAGCAAAAAGGCTTGCTTATGCTATCAAAACAAATTAGTGATCCAACTTCAAACAAAACAAAACAAACCAATTCCTGCTCTTTAAAAACAAAAGTGCAACCAATTTCTTTCTCTAAAGTAGCTAAAAAGTGTCTCTCCGCCCAATGCAAAAGCAAAAGCATCTTCCACTTTTACATAAATCACACATCCAATCCAATGCTTTCTATAAACAGAAAAATATGAATTATATTTCATTTCGTCCCATTAAACAATCCTAATGTAAATATTTTAAATTAACAAAACTTAATAAATAGTATAAAAAAAGAACTAACCAGTGACTCTGTAATCAGCAGCAACCTCATGTTCCAGTTCCTTATCAAGAACTCCACAACTCTCGTCCGCAACGACGTCGTCGGAATCGGTAACTGCGTCGACGCAACCCTGCGGCGCGAGGCAAGCACAGACTCCAAAGAGGAGCCACACGGAATCAGGACGGTGGAGCCACCGCGCGGGCCTCGTGTCCCATGCGACATTCCACGATCCCTCTCCCTTCAGGTCATGGACGGCGACAACGCTGCGGCGGAATCCGTCAGCGCTGCGTGGCATGATAGCGTGCCATATGGAGGCAGCGCCCCCAGCGGAGCGAAAGAGTGTACAAGCGCTGGAATGGTGGCGGCGAGGCGGTGATGCGGAGAGGGAGACGGAGGCGTGAGCGAAGCGTGGCGGCGAGGCATGGACGAGGGAGAAGAGCCAGGGCTTTGGACGAGTGGCACAGAGAACTCCAAGCATGGGTGAAGGCTATCGTGCGCTGGGTTTGTTGTTATCCTACGCACCACCTGCACACGTAGTTTCCATGTGTGACGGCATGGGGTTTTGGGAGACAACTACAACGACTCACCACAGCACTATTGGAATCATCAAATTTAAACAGATTAATCAATCTTCCTTTCCCACGCTCCCACACACGCGTGCTTCTCACTTTCTTCCAACAAATTTATACAATTTTTTTTTTTAATTTTTAATTCTTCTAAAACTTTTATCCTTCTCCACCACGAGAATATTCCCACTGTGTGTCACATTTATAACATAAGGTTTAGGTTTTGTTTTGCTCGTTGTTCTTAGCACTTTACCACCAAATTAGTTAGGTCCAAATCTCTTTCAGAAATTTTAATCAAAATAATATTTATGTTTTATGTATTATATTTTAGCATTGTGAATGTAAAAAATCATAACCAGGTTTATAATGAAATTAATCACCGATCAAATAGTTTTAAATATATAAAAACACGTTAAAGATGACAATTAGATTTCTAATATCGTTTTTATACTCTTTTTTTATTCGTTAAGATTTTTTTTAACTTCTTTCGAAAATAAAAGTCATAGGGTGAATTTTTTAAGGCTATAGTTTATTTAAAACTAGTTATCTTGTCTAATAAATTACTTATAAAATAGATAATATTATTAAAATTTTGATATGTACAAAATGATTTTAATAATAAAAATATAAGCAATTAAAACTTTATTTTAATGAGAATTTTAAAATAATATAATAATTCTTCCTCTTTCTCTCAAAGTTTTCTCCAACAAACCAGCGAAAAGAGCAAAAATTCAAAGAACTGCATCACTCAATTTCGAAGATGGTGCCTTATAACAAGCCAGTGACGAGCTCTATATAAATTTGTTAATGTGATTTTTTTTAATAAAAATAAACTTATATTTTAAGAGTTTACCTGAAAAATTGTTTGACATTTTTTTTATTAAAAGGATAAAAAAGTCTAAAACAAACTGAGTCAAACGCTACTTAAAAACGGTGATTTTTTAAATAATTTGTATGAAAATTAACAAATTGGTAATTAAAGAACTTCACAAAATTTTTCACACTGTTAATGTTGTATTTAAATTAAATTTTTATATTACTAGAAATCCATCCTCTTTTTTTTATGTATATATTTTTCTTGAATTTCTTTTGTTTATTGGATCTTTTATTCATCATATATGGCTGCGTGTGGAACAATTTAAATGAAATTTGTTTGCTAACGATGATGTTTTGTTTGGATTTGCTTGCTTATAAGTTATATGAAAGTGTGATTATAAAAATATTATGGGGCCAAACTGCAATTGATGTTGCTTACACGACTCTTGTAAGTAAGAATAACAGCTACAACAATGTTCATCGAACTTTTGTTTTTAAGAAAAGTGAGAGATAACGACACACTAAAAATTTAAAATTAAAAAAATATATTAAATCAGTTTAATAATTATACTATTTAAAAAAAAAAACCCATCAATAACGAAAAAGAAATTGAAGTAGAAAAAACAAATTAATAAACTTGTAGAAAGAGTAATGTAGAAACATGTTAGTAATCCATTTGAAAATATGTGACGAAGAGATTTGTGCCATGCAAAGTTAGGTTTAAGTTTATATTTTGAGAATGTACTTTTCCTTCTTATTTTTGAAAGTTCTGGAACTTTTAACTGACTCCACCTTCAGGATAGGAAAAAAAAAAAAAATCTCATGTAATCGAAATTCCATTTTGCTTAACAAATCTACCTTTTCAATTTGAGAATCCAAGTTGACACGCATGTCTCTTATAAGAGAAATAATGTGCTACTTTTTCACTCAGAAATTTTTTTGACCAAACAAAAGGCACAGTATTTGTTCTCTAAGAATTTAAAACTAATCAACTTCATCTACAAAATCATGCACTTCGCGATTCTCCTGAAAGTTATAATATTTGTTTCCTCTGTATTTTCATAGGCAATTTTTTAGTCTACAAACAGAAACAATAAATAAGAATATTATAAAACTTTAAATATTTGAAAAAAAAATGATAGAGAATTATTTCCTAGAACATTAAATAGAATAAGTTTGAAAAACTATTAGAATTAAATTTTCTACTAAGTGTTTAATAAATCAACAGAAATAAGATTGGAAATGATTAAAAAAAAGTTAAAAACTAATCAAAATTAATTTTTTTATAGTTTTTAATTAAAAATTTGTAAAGTTAATTTGGTTCAAGTTTGACAAAAAGAATTTAAACTCAATCAAAATAAAGTTATAATATACATTATTATTAAATTTTTGTAATCATTTTTTTTATAATTTAAGATATATATTATACATTTAAAATTAAATATAAAGATATATAAAAATAAATTTAAATTATAAATATTACAATTAATTATATATTTTGATAATATATTTTTTAATGAATAGTTATTTTTTATAATATATTTAATAATCTTATAATAAAAAATTATAAAAAACATCTAAATGAATATTTTATTTTATTTTAAAATAAAACTAAATTAAATCAAATTATAATTAAATTTTATATTTAATTCAAATAACTTTTTTAAATACCAAATAAAATCAAATAACACCACACGCTTTAGAAATAATTGAAAACATACAATTCTGTAGATTTTGTAAGATAAATACATTTTTTGGAAAAAAAATTAAAAAAAAAAAGGAAGGAATGTGAAATGGGAAGTTTGAACTGCAATTAGAGTATCCAAATTTAAAATTGAAAAAATACATCTCAGGTAAAAAAAAAAAGTAATGGATTTTTAAAAATAGAAAAAAGAATTTCCCACTATCCCATGGACATGTGTCAATAGAGTTGTTATATTCAATTTTTTGTAGGTTGACGCTGGATAAGGGTAAAAACACCAGAATAAGTTCAACTTCTTTCAAAATTTACTGAAATAAATATTCTTTTTTTTTTAGATTACAATATAACTAAATTGAATTTAAACGGTTTCATTATAAAATAAAGTCTTATTTTTAATTTATTTATTTTTTTATATAAAAGTCATGCTTTTAAATATATTTCTTTTTAATCTCAAAACCTAATTTTAGTATTTTTTATTTTTTAATATTGAATTGAAGTTGCAGTTTAAATTATATTATTTATATTTATTTTTATTTTGGATTAGAATGATGTTTGATAATAGGATTTTAGATTGTTTTTTTATTCAAATGCATGGAAAGAGAGAAGGAAGTCATGGTTGGTGGAAGAATTGAAGGTAAGCATTGGAGGAAGTGACCCAAATGAAGGAATGAAGTGAAATTCTGGAAGGAGATGGAGAAACTGTTTTGAAGAATTCAAGGAGTTGGACTAGATGGATGAAGCAGTAAAGCAATTAGGACTAGATAAGGTAAGGACTGGGAACAACAGCTACATGAGATTTCTCCATTGAATGGGGAACCAAAGTGTGGTAACCATGATTGTGATTCCAAAGTGAAGAAAACAATATATATGTCAAAAACTCTAGAGGCGAGAACCTCCCCTGCTGGACACTAAATATACTCAAAGTTTGATACATTAATTATTCTATTTCAAACTTTTGACTACTTCCATGACTTGAAAGTTTAAATAAAAAAAAAAAAATATATATATATATATATATATATATATATATATATATATATATATATATATATATATACAAGTTTAAAAATCATATTATTAATCATGATTTATAACTTAAAATAAATTTTTTTATCATATTTTAAAACACAATTTCAACTTAATATTATTATTCAAAATATAATTTCTAATTTAAAAAACTATAAAAACAAAAATCGCATCTAAAAAATGCAAATTTTATGTAGAAGAATGAAAGTAACACAAGTCATTTAAAAATATGAAAAAAAAAAGTGTTTTTAAAACGGTTTCTCAAATTCGTAGTTTAATAAAAAAAATACTCATTTTGATGAATTTCAAAAGAAATTATACACTTTTGCTATACATTTACTAAAATGAATAATACAAAAAAAAAAAAATCACTGCTTATATAAATGAATTCAATTCATTGAATAAGTGTCTCGAAATACAGTGTTACATTGTAATCAAAACATTAAAATAAATCTAATTAGGTTTGATTGAATTTATGTATCTATAGACATACAGCAAAAATGTAGAACCACGCAATACAGTACCCATGAATTATAGCAGCTCTCTACACTGACAATAGCAAGACCCCATTTCAGTTTCCTTGGCCCAAATGACACACGAACTTGAATCTGCCATCAACACTGTTTTTGCTAGTCAATTGATTGTAAGTTTCCTCATGCTTACAATTTGGGCATTTATATTCACAACGGTTTCCAAGACGTGATGAAATGAAGTTAACCGCGGCAATAGACATTAAGAATCTCATCCCATAGTTTATTGATCCATTTGCTCCACAGATGTTTAGGATGTTTGGAGATGGAGCTTCCAAATATGATTCTAATGTTCCTCTAATAGAGTGGTGCCAGGAATAAAAGGTTGGGAAGGTTTCAAGAGATATCATATTACACTTATGGTAACGAGACTTTGAAAAGAGCAAGTGGGATGCCTTTCAATCATTGGGCTTGGGGCATCATGAATCTGATCTGGGAGCAGTAAAAGATGAAAGAAGACCAGCTGCGTGAGCAGGTAAAATATCTCCAAACGAGGACATTGCAGCTGCAGATCTGTCCTTAAAAATGCCAACTTGTCCATCAGTTAGTATGGATCCCAGTTTAAAAGTACTCTCCCCGAACCTGCTTCCAACCTAGAAAAAGAATAAAAACTGTTTCAAGCACCTACATAATTAAGCAATCAAATAACGTATTCTATATCATAATTGATATAAGAACGGAGGCGTATCGGTATATAAAGCAGATGTAATATAATCATGTTAAAACCGGATGTTACTCCAAAAATTTGCATATATGCAGCTAATATTGCAAACAACGCATAATGAAATGTAGTTGGTTAAGCAATACCGTCTTATATGCTCAAACACAGCAAGAGAATATTCTGATACAATTAATAAAGAATTTGATCAACAAATCAAGAAACCAAGTATAGTTGAATGGATAACCTTTTCCAGGATAAAGTACCACGTGGTACACAAGTGCCAGGAGTAGTAGATAAAGTTTAATCCAGTCTAATAATTTGAAAGACTCGGTATTAATTCTATCAAATACTGCAGGAGAGCGGTTCAAATATAATCACATTTGGCTTATAGATTGTAATTTGTTAAACAGTTGTCTGGACTGAATAAAAAACATTTCTTAGAAAGGAAAAAAAGAAATGCATTTGTATGGTTGCATATATGGATGGAGTTCACTGTTCACTGCAGCAGCAATGCAATAGAGGTGTACGAATATGATATTCAAATGCATGAAGTAATGGAGTATCAACATCTCATGATTTCTTAATTAAAGATACAACAATGCACAAAATTAAATTGCAAAAGGCAAGAAGTAGTATCGGTATTTGAAAAGGCTTACCTGCATAAAAGACTTCAGTAACGGTGCTGCCACCCCCAGACTTGAATTGTCATCCAAATTCATCTTCTGAGAAAGTTCTCCATTTGTAATTGAATTCCATGAACTTCTTGAAGAGATTTCATTTGCAGATGGAGTAAATGTCTTCTTTGTCCCTCTAGAGGACAATGCTGGTGCACTGAATTTACCAAGAGGTAAGCTTGTAAATACAATATGTCATTTAGAGTATTAAACTTCACTTACTTCGTACTGTGTACTTCAAAATGTTTCTTAGAAAAAACTGCCCACAAAAACAGTCATTGAATAAAATTACATTTTAAGTTAATTTAAATTAAAATAAAATGATGGTAAAGGATACCAGCTCGTAACTATGCATTATGAAATGACTGACAAAACAGAAATAAAATACAAGATCAGACTAACCTGATGGGGAGGTATTTAAACCGGGGAACTGTAGAACACCTCAGAATATTAGATTCTGAATTAGTAGGCAGTTTCTGAACAGTATCTGTGTACATACGGTTAAGTTGCACAAAGAAACCAAAGAGGACAGCATGCCGTAGGTATGATTGCCTCTCATTCTCCCAGAGATATGGCTCATACCTTCAAGATAAAGAAAGATGATTTGAGACATAACAGAAATTAATAGAAGTTCAAAATCTTTACACACTACCAATTTAACCCTGTGCAAGAAATGCATGCTACGAATTCTCTCTAGCTATGGATTTTACGGACAAAAAAGCAAGAAAGAAAAAATGCTTCAACCTTCCAGATTGCAAAAATGGCCTATCTGTGTTAAATGGATCCTACAGCCAGGTTGCACGTTGTTGCTTGAAAAGAATTACGGCATCTTTGAAATTCATTAGAGCGAGACATGATTTCTTTTAGTAATCTATTTCACTCGCACCCATTGGAAGCTTTTGTGATTTATTCTTTTTTATTTTCTTGTAATTCTAAATTTACCTAATTTGGTTATTTCCTTGCATATTTGAACATTACATAAGCCATCTGTTAATGGATTGCACATCCAAAGTCCCTTCCAAATACCAAAACAAAGAAAGGAAGAACTTGAAATGAAGAATAAGAAACTTACGTAAGCCAGTCTATGGGATCCAGTTTCTGAGAAAGACGATTTAACAATTGATCTGAACGTTCTCTAATGGCTGAGGTTGTAGAACTTTGCTCTTGCTTCCTTCTGGCAGGTAGCTTAGCCTTTGGGTTACTAGATAATACCCCAACCACATTTAAATCACCACCAGAGAGAACATCAGTAGCAAATTTGACGTCTAACAAAACCTGCAAAACTCCTTTTTCTGACACTTGGTGAACACCACTCTCTTCAGTGGAAAGGAAGTCCTCAAAGATTCCAATTACCTGTATAATAAGATACAATCATTGTACATGTACACGCAGTCAACAACATAGCAGAACAGTCACTGAAAACAGTAAGGCATGATAACCTGATAACTCACTGCCTAGAAAATTAAATGCAAACATTAAACAATTGAGTAGAAAATATTATTAAAATCGAACTGGAATTCAGTCAATCTGTGGAGTTGATATGAACATGACCTATGATAAGGGTTAGAGCAAGGAAAATAAAGGAAGCTCTTCAACAAATATTGTTAGTTGACCAAATTATGTTTTGAAGTAATCAATTAATGGACTTTAGTTTAATTTTGCTTTAAGTTGTAATAAGGACCCAATTGAAAATTTAGTCATCAGCCTTTGGGAGACCAAGGGGTGCATAATTGATTGACTTTTGGTTATCACAGTTTCAGATACAATCAGTCATTAAGTAGTTTCAATTCCTAGGTTAATGAATTATTATTAGCCTTTATTTGTTTCCATTAAATAGTTTTCAATTCCTAGATTAATGGGTTATTATTAGTATTTTTTTTTTTATTGAGTCTTTGTAATTCTGATGGCAACGCTTCTATATCAGCTGAACCATTTTTATCAAGAAATAACAAATGGAATTTTATTCAGAAATATTAGAGGTTATCTCTTTTATCTTAGTGAGAGTGATTCTCCTAAATTCTTGAGTGATTCAAGAACCCTTGACTGTATCAAAGGACTTTCACATCCTTTGTGTATTGCCTCCCTTGGGAAGAGTGATTCTTTCCTTCCACCTTCTTTCTAATTCCTAAATTTCTTACAAGGTTCTAACCCTAAAGATTCTAAATTGCCCCTTGTGATTCATATCATTTGGTATCAGAGTTTCGGTTTAAGGGTTTAAACATCAAATTGATGGCAGAAGAGGAAAATTACAATCAAGAAGCAGGAATTAGTCCATTTCAAATGAGAGTATTGGTACAATATTTGGAAGGATTAATGATACGACATAACAATGAGAGCTTCATGAAAGATTGAACCGGTTAGAGAATAGAAATCCTGAAGACGAAGAAGAAAGGAGAAATAGGAGAATGAATGATGGAGTAGCAAGACCAAGTAGGCTTGAAGGAGTCAAACTTAACATTCCTCCGTTCAAAGGAAAAAATGATCCGGAGGCATACTTGAAGTGGGAGATGAAAATAGAGCATGTTTTCTCATGCAACAATTATGAGGAGACCCAAAAGGTGAGGCTTGCAACAACGGAATTTTCTGACTATGTTCTTGTTTGGTGGAACAAGCTACAAAAGGAGAGAGATAGAAATGAAGAGCCAATGGTTGATACATGGACTGAGATGAAAAGGATCATGAGGAAGCGGTATGTGCCGTCTAGTTATGCAAGGGACTTGAAATTTAAACTCCAAAAACTTACTCAAGGCAACAAAGGGGTTGAGGAGTATTTCAAAGAAATGGACATGCTAATGATTCAAGAAAAGATTGAAGAAGATGAAGAGGTAACTATGGCCCGATTTATTGGTGGTTTGAATATTGATATATGTGATATTGTTGAATTACAAGAGTTTATTTATATGGAGGATTTACTTCATAAAGCAATTCGAGTGGAGCAACAACTCAAAAGAAAAGAAATGACTAAGAAAAGTTCTACCAACTTTGGATTTTCAAGTTGGAAGGACAAAGGCAAGAAAGATAGGACTGTTACTTCTAGTAGTTCCACACTTATTCCTACAAAGACTCATTCAAAATATGAAGAACAACCCTCTAAAAAAAGTAGAGATGTGAAGTGTTTCAAGTGTCAAGGCCTAGGACACTATGCTTATTAGTGCCCTAACACAAAGACCATGGTTCTTAGAGAGGGAGAATATATAAGTGAATCTGAGGTTGAAGAGGGAGAAAAGAGTGAAGACATTGATGAGGAGAAGGAGATTCCAAAGGGAGATTTATTGATGATTAGGCGATTACTTGATAGTCAATTGAAACCTATGGAAGAAAACTAAAGAAAAAATATTTTTCACACTAGATGTTTAATCAATGACAAGGTGTACATGATGATCATAAATGGTGGTAGTTGCACCAATGTGGCTAGTGCTAGATTAGTATCAAAACTAAATTTAGCTACCAAACTACATCCTAGGCCATATAAACTTCAATGGCTTAGTAAGGATGGAGGGGTGCAAATGAGACAACAAGTTGAAGTAGACATTTCCATTGGAAAATACAATGATAAGGTGCTTTGTGATATTATTCCTATGGAAGTCAGTCACTTACTTTTAGAGAGACCATGACAATTTGATAAAAGAGTTAATCATAACGGGTTCACCATCAAGATCTCTTTCATGCACCAAGACAAGAAGATTGTGCTCCAACCTTTGAGTCCACAAGAAGTCTGTGAGGATAAAAAGAAAACGAGAGAAAAACTTCTTCAAGAAAAGAGAGAGAAAGAAAGCGTTAGTGAAACACTTGAGAGGAAAAAGAGTAATAAAAAAAAGAGTGAAACACTTGAAGTGAGGGAGAACTATTTAGCCATAAAAAGTGAGTATAATGTTAATTTTACATTCAATTTGTCAGACTTATCTCTTTTTCATGTAGATGGCGAATCCAATTTGAGGACAAATCCTTTTCAAGAGGGAGAAAATGATGTGAACATGACTTATGATAAGGGTTAGAGCAAAGGAAATAAAGGAAGCTCTTCAACAAATATTGTTGGTTGACCAAATTATGTTTTGAAGTAATCAATTAATGGACTTTAGTTTAATTTTGCTTTAAGTTGTAATAAGGACCCAATTGAAAATTTAGTCATCAGCCTTTGGGAGACCAAGGGGTGCATAACTGATTGACTTTTGGTTGTCACAGTTTCAGATACAATCAGTCATTAAGTAGTTTCAATTCCTAGGTTAATGGATTATTATTAGCCTTTATTTGTTTCCATTAAATAGTTTTCAATTCCTAGATTAATGGGTTATTATTAGTATTTATTTTCTTTTATTGAATCTTTGTAATTCTGATGGCAACCCTTCTATATCAGCTGAACCATTTTTATCAAGAAATAACAAGTGAAATTTTATTCAAAAATATTAGAGTTTATCTCTTTTATCTTAGTAAGAGTGATTTTCCTAAATTCTTGAGTGATTCAATAACCCTTGGCTGTATCAAAGGACTTTCACATTCTTTGTGTATTGCCTCCCTTGGGAAGAGTGATTCTTTCCTTCCACCTTCTTTCTAATTCTTAAATTTCTTACAAGATTCTAACCTTAAAGATCCTAAATTGCCCCTTGTGATTCATATCAGGAGTAGGATCTCAAAATAAAATAGGATTCCTTAGCACTTTAATTATGTTGGATCATTGAAAAAGTGTCACCAATCACACTTTGGTCTGAGCAATATTTCTAGGCACTTATGTTGAAGGTGAAACATAAGCTACAAGGCACTGTAGGCAGTGTTGTAAAAGCTTAGCTTGGAGTGGTCGGTAGGATTTGAAACTGACCATATGGCCAGTCTGAGCACCTCTATGGATAGGTTATGCACTCAACTTGGTATGGGATGGTATGACTTGGCCTGTTTTTTCTAAAAAACCAGTGACTTGAGCACACATCTAAAACGGTCAAGTCATACATTTAGTAAAAAAATTAGAAAAAAGAAATTGAAGGAACTTGCTCCGTTTGCAGAAGAAGGCGCTTTCTGAAGCTTGAAGAAGGTTGTTGCAGTACATAAATAGAAGTCGAGAAAAAGAAACACCGAAGGAAACTATGTAAAGATGGGAATGATGATTCCTTAATTCCTTCACCAAGAAAATTAATCCAATGAATTCAACAAAGAAATTGCAGCCTCGGAGCTCTTTCACCCCAGAAAATGAGATGGTTGAGCTTTGTGAAAGGTGGAAAATTCTAATAATTCAAGAAATGAATGAGAACTACAGTGCTCCTTCACCCAAAGATACGAGACACGGTTTTTGTTTAAAAAATGAAGGAAATTTTATTAGACCTGTCTGTAGTAGGCTAATTGGGTAGTGTTAAGACCTAGATGGGAACTATGCACACTGCAAGGAGTAGGAAAATGGGAATATATGGTTAATGGAATCAGTTTTATAATATAAATGTAAAAGCACTAGTATTTAGAATCAAGCGCTCACAACCTTGGGAGAGAAAAAGAATACTTGGGCCACTATGCTAGAAATCATTTTAGATATCATATTAATAGTTCAATATTTATATTGTAAATAAATACAATACCAGTACATGCAGTTATCATGACTCACTAGCACTCGTAGCTATGAATAGTTTCTGCGATACTCATAGAAAGGAGTGGAAATCTTTTTATGAGCCAGCCTTTATTGTTATTTATTAATTAATGAATGTTCGTCTAAGAGATATGCATGTATTTCTTTTTGGACTTTTGATTTTAAGAGTAGAGACAAGTCCAGAAACTGTCACCAAGTTTTAATTAATTTAATGATATATTGATAAGAATCTTGGGTTAACCACACCACAAAAGCTGGCCATTGCAATTGGAGAGGCCCAAGCCTTATAAAATAAACCCCATACCAAAATTCTATACTTCCAATGTTGGAACTCGGGTCCCATATATTGCCATTGAATTCTAACATGCGACCACAATCCACAGCCACAATGCCCATGCAGACTGCCTATGTAATAGCCATTTGACTATTCCGAATAAAAACATTGCATTGTCAGCATCACTTTCGCCACTCGTTCTCGTCAGAGACATGGTGACTCAAGTTGATAAGAATTTTGGAAGAATCACACTACAAATGTTAGCCATATTAGCTGGAGAGCCCAAGGCCTTATAATAAACCTCACACTAGAATTCTAGACATCCAATGTAGGGCTTAACTCTCACACATTGCAATTGGATTCCTAACATTTTTATACGCAAAATTTAGTTTTAGGCCACATGCTGCAGAAGAAACTAATGATTTAACAGTAAATTTATACCTTTCAATGTTTCTCTTCAAGAACATGCTTTTAAAAGCATTAACCCATGCAATGCAAGGCCACACTATTTTTTTAATTTTCTGTACTTCCCTTGTAAAAGCATGTAATACTAGCATCAATAGTATACTAATATAAAAAAAATGAACCTACTTGAAAGTCCGCATTCACTCTCATTTAAATCAAAGTATACAGAGAAAATTTCAGCCCTTGTAGATTTAAGAAACTATTACATCCCTTTTGAATACCAAGACTGGATATACTCATAGGAACTTCTTAATTTTTTCTTCAGGGACACATTTTCATAAACATTTGTTTACATCAAGAATAAGAATTAATGCATTGAAAAGGACATACTATTGTTTAGTTATCCGTAGCTCCCTTCTTAAAGCATATAATGCCAGCTAGCAACATTAAGCTAATAAAAGAAAAAGGTGGGTCTACTTGCAAGTCCATGTTTCTATTCACTCTCATCGAATTCAAATAAGAAAATAAAATTTTGGCCTTGTAGATTTCAGGAATTTTCACAGCCCCTTTAGCACCAATATCAGCAAAAGGCACCAACTCAACTATACTCATAGACCACCAGATATACCAAGATAAATGATGAGATCAATAGTCTCTATCGCATCAAAGGTGTTTAAAGGACCTGATTGATACTGAATCTACTTTTCCAGTTCTCAATTGGCCACTAACTAACATCCATTCAGGTTCTCAATAACTTAAGCAATTACTTTTTACAAGGGTGTGGGGGTGGGTTTGCTTGCAGATAGTATAATTATTTCTGTTACTCTGACATTCTAGTGACATGAGAACAACTCAAGTGTAACTCTATAAATTAATTTTTTTATGAATTAATTCAGTAGCATGAATCCAAGAATACCAATTGTCCAAGTCTTTAACATGGATCTAACAAAGACTGCACTACCTACAATTTTGGGTAAGCTGACACAGAAAATGGCACATGCCACGGAGTTAATACAAATAATTTAAACTTAGGTTTAGGCTTAACATGGTATCCAAATATTGCAGAGAGATTCCTTGCTGCATTTTTTGTTCATTGCTCATTGTTTCATGTCTTGTGTTTTATATTACTTTGAGGATACATTATCCATACCATTATTTATTCTTCTTTTTTTTCAAGGAAATCTGATTTTCTATAAATAACAAAAAGGAAAGGCAGGAAATAAAACAGAGAGAGAAAGTCACGATGGTAGAAATTAAGATCAAGCAGACTAACACATCCACAGAAAAACCCACCTTTTCCAGTAACCTTGATGCAAGTTTATGCAAAATCTTCTTGTCAAGCACATGGCCTCCAACTCTATGAACTTCATCACAAGCTCTAAAGAGAAATGAGATGATATACAGAGAAGGCATAGAAGGAAGAGAAATTTTCATCTCCGATTGGTTCTCATCAGACTGATCTTGCTTGACAACAATATCCTCCCATCCCTGTTCAGACAAGAAAAAAATAAAAACCTTGAAGATGAAATGCTATAACTTGGACAGCATATCGCCAATACAAGGTCCCTCTAAAGAAATAACAAGTAAACCTCTAAAGAAATAACAAATAAACCTCTAAAGAAATAACAAATAAACGCTGACAAATGGAAGATTAATAAGTTATAATCTTAAGAAGAAGAAAAACAAGATTAAGCCATCACATGCAATGGAAAAATAAAGAAAACATATAAAGGGGGAGATGAATGTCATTTACCCTCCAGGGTGTGCTCAAAGATAAAGCATCATCTTGTTTAAGATCCCGAGAGACAGTGGCAGAAAGTTCATCAGAGAGCCATAATATCCACAAGTTGTAAGCTCTAATGCAAAGATCCCCTATAGTCTTATTCAGTTCTTCCAATTCATGGCTTGCACCTTCTCTCATGCCAAGCAAAGCAGCTATGGAAGATGAATTTTGTCTTTTGGAGCCGAGACTCGCTTGTCTTCCTGGACTATCAGATATAGCAGAATCAGATGCAAATCGAGATTGTTTCACCGTAGATGGTAATTTCCCAACCGCAGATGCATTTCCATTAGCCCAAAATCTGGGAGAACCAAGTATCAGGGGTATATGTTTAGAATGGTTTTGGAATGCAAACAATATTCGTCCAATGAAAAGAGACTTTTCAACAGTAACAGCTGTTGGCACCTCTTTATTTTCTGTTGGGGCATATAAACTATCAAGCTGTTCTTTCAGTGTCAATAATATTGATGACACACATTCATAACATTTACTTTGCAGGTATGGTGCCAGATCCTTCAATCTTTGAGATGCCTTTGGGGATTCTATGAAACTTAAAAGATCCTCAAGGATGCTTTGACAAGAAACATCAACTGCATCCCTGATTCGACTTACCTCAGGACCAAAATAAGCATTGAGACAAGAATGAAATTCACTCTCTTCAGGCTGGACTTTAGACCCGGAAGCAACTCCAGTTTTCCTGGTATTTGATTCTAGAAACCAAACACCACCAGCCGTAGAAGGTCTGTTCACGTACACCTGAACATCATCCAGCTTGGTAAACAACTCACCTACAGCAGAAATTGAGTTTACCACGTCAACAGCACCAGTTAGCTCCCTAAATCTCAAGTTAATAATTGCTTTCATCCTGCCAAGAAAAGCGTCTTCAAATATCTCATCCCAAAGATCTGAATCATCTTCCAGAACAAGTTCTCGAATCCTACTCCAAGGCAACTCAATCTCCGAGCCAAAAACACTCTTGAGCCATTCTAGACTCCCCTGAAGAACTTGCTTGCTTTCCATGGTCTCCCTTATTGATTTCTCAGCAGAAGCCAAATCCTGGCCGCAACCAATGGCATCAATCAAATTTCTTCCGCTTATCTTGCTCACGCACTCTCTCAACCACGCAAAACAAGTATCAGCAATGTAACGCTTATCAAGCATCACCATGATCGATTCCAGTCTATCTCTGAATGACTTCCAAAGCCTAACTTCCTCGTCAGGATTGGGAATCCCACCAAACAGCTGAGATGCCGGAGGGGATCCCAGAATGACTTTGTAGAAAAGGGGCATATCATTCAAAACCTGCAAAAACAACTCACCCACCTGACCCACAGTAACCTGAATTATACCCAACACATCACACAAGACCGAAACCACCAAAGAGGAAGCGTCACCAGGACCAGCATTCCCCAAAACTTGCAATATCCACGACTTCCTCGATTCCAAAAACAATCCCAATATCTGTTTTACATCAACAATCAGTTCAAACCGAATTCAGCAACTGTCCAAATCTTAAATCAATTAAATCCATGCCAATCTATTTTTCATCGAATAATCATTGCATAGTTCACATACACAAATATATACATAAATCCAGAATTCACAGTGAAGAAATCAAATACCTGCTTAGGCTCGAGCTCGTCGATAACGGCCACGGCGGCAAGCGCGTCGGAGTAAGCGCTAATGGCGAGGCCGCGATCAAGCAACCGATCGCGGCTGCGCTGGGAGATCTGCGCCCTGAAGCTCTCGACGATCTGCCATTGGTGCTGGAGCATGGCGAAATTGGAGAGGAACTTCTTCTTCTGGTCATCGGAATCGACGAACAAGTGGTGATGCACGTGCTTGGCACGCACGCAGCGCGACGCAGCCTCCAAAAACATCCCCTCGTCGAGGCATCCCCAAATGTTCTCGGGCGTGTCGGCGAGGTACTTCACGCGGCACGCCGTGCCGTAAGTCCAGGCTCGGGACTGGGAATGGAGCTTGGTTTGGGACTGGGATTGGGAAAGGGAGAGGGAGCGAATGCGGCCGTGCACGGTGGCGATATTCCCGGAGATTCCGTCGCAGGAGGCCTTCATGCGGACGATGGAGTCGGCGGAGTCGATCAGGTCGCGGTACCGGTTGCCGACCAGTTGCCGGAGCTCCTCCTTCTTATCCTCGATCTGCCTCCGCGTCGCGGCTTCTGTCTTCCGGATCTCAGCAATAGGCTTGGAGCGGAAGAGAGACTCGGCGTCGCGGCTGCCGATGTTGGACATACGGTGGTCGTCGGCGTGAGGCGACGCCGCCGCCGCGGCGGGGGATGAGACTCGCATGGCTGTGGGTTTGGGGGTTTAGTGGCTTGGCATTGATCTCTCCGGCGTACGAAGGAGCAAGGAGGGGAAAATTTGGAGAACGGACACTTGGAAACGGGAAAAAAAAAATTCAAGACAAGTTTCGTAAAGATAATTTTGTCTGATACAAATATGAACGGCGACGTTTTTGGTTTGAAGAGGAATAGTAAGTAATAGTTCTTTTGCTTGAATTGATTTTTTTTTTTTTTTTGAATACTATGCTTTATATTTAGAACTTACTAAAACAAATTTCAGGTTCATTTTCAAGCTTATAAACCCTTATTCAATTGATTATTCTTCATGATATGCATATTTAATATAGTTGTACTTTCAAATAAATTAATTTTAAAGAAAAGATTTTGATAGTTTGATGTTTTTATTTTAAAATTAACAATAAAATTTTAATGTACTTTTTAATCTAACAAAAACGTTGTCAAAAATTATTTTAAATCAAATTCAATTTTTTATGCGAAATTAAATCATTACAAACAAATTTATGGCAGTTTTAGATAATTTCTCTTTCGAATAAGAGGAATAATTTTTTTAAAATATGTCAATGAAACTTTTTTTTTTAGAATTTGTTGTATAAATAAACAATAATGGTTGCTATAAATCAACACACAAATTGTGTCGTGGTAATACTATCAAAGATTGATTGTCGCAAACACATGATTCACTATGGTACGTTTCATTATAGAATAAAAATAAAAATATAAGACAAGAGTGATAAAAAAAAAAAGACATGGATGGAGACGAAGAAAAAATTTCTCAAATTCCCATTTATTTAATAAGATTACATTTCTACAATTTTAATTGATATAAATACTTTTATAAATCATAAAATTTAAATATTTTAAAATAATGAAAAACATATTTCATCATATTGATTTTAAAACAATATTCTCTTAAAAAAGTTTGTCCAAACAAATGATTAACATAATTATAAAAAAATAATTTTATTATATATTATTTGATTAAAAACAATGATAAATGTGTCGAATGCAATATTCCCATTTACTTTATTGCAATGAAATATTTTGTTTCCTACTTAAAATTACATAATTAATTTTTTAAAAATATTAATACGTTGAAACTTCCATACATTAGTTTTTCAAAGACTGGTTTTAATTGAAAACTTTAATTATAAATTATAATTTTAAAAAGACATTTTCATTAACTATATAAATAAATATTTATCTAAAAATAATAAACTGATATTTTCATGATAAAAAATGAATGACGAAATGTCTTATAAAAAAGTAGTACTTGAGTACCCATGTCTAACATTACAATAATTATTATTTATATCAATTTCTTTTATATATATATATATATATATATATATATATATATATATATATATATATATATATATATATATATATATATATATATATATATATATATATATATATATATATATATATATATATATATATATATACGTGTTCAAATTTCAAGAGAAGAAAACAAATCCAGGGAACCTCTAATGCCTAACGGATCGGTTCTTCTGTCTCTGTTTGGGATAAACTTCATTAAAAATAGTTTTAGATAAATAAATAAAAAAAGCTAAATGATTTCCTTTGAAAACTAAAATTAGTATATTTATAAATTAAGTTTTTTTAGAAAAAATGTATTTTTTTAAAATTAACTTATTCATAAAATCGTAGAATAATTTATTTTTTCTGTAAGTTATTATGCTTGTACTACACACATGTTATTCAAAAGTTATTTTTTTCCTAATGTTTATTTTTTTTGTAGTTCATAAAAATAAAAAATATTTGTTGTTCTCTTCAAAAAACATATATATTTTTTTTTAATGAACTAAAAAAACAGAGCGGGAGATTTAGCCGATCCGACTCGCTTTAATTACCCATTCCAGTCGGGCCGGGTCCAGTTTAAACCCAATGAATCCGTGTTGTAAGGGCCCAATTGAAACGGTGAGTTTCGTTTACTACTGGCTAAACTAGATTTCACTTCTCTCCCAGTAGAGATGGAACCAGTCACTCACTCACTCACTATTCTCCAGACACAGCACCACGGCGCTGCGACGCCGTTTCGTCCATTCCCTTTCCTTCTACCATAGATTATTGTTATGTGAGTATGCGTACTGCCATTTTTTCCTCTGACTTCTACGTTCTCTTACACTTTCTGCATTATTTTGCATTTTCATCATGCTTGTGCCTGTTTTTAGAAAAATAATTTGTATGTATGTATTTATTTATTTATTTTTAAGTTATTTATATCAACCATGTGTTGTGTTCTGACCCATGACTGTGGGTTCTTATTTTCTTGTAGAAAATATTTGAATTTCCTTTTGTTTAGTTAGTTTTTGATATATATATATATATATATATATATATATATATATATATATATATAATATGAGATGGGTTGCAGTTATATATATACTCACAGTACAAGAATTATTACTACATCAAGATGTCAGAACTATTAATTTTATTTATTTTAAGTTTGAATTTTTTTAACAGAATGTGGTGCTCATAACGATGATGGTAAACCAAAGGGTTGAAGAACATGTTATAATAGAAGAAGGGCAAAGGAAAAAGAAGAAGAGGAAGAAGCAAGTTTTGGTTCCTCGTCCTGCATGTTCTTGGGTGTATTTAAGGTGATTTTTAATTTCTTAACTCTGAAATTACATTTATTATTGGGATAAATTGTGTAAAAACAGTGTAAACATAAAAATTACATATTCTTCTTCTTATTATTATTATTACATATTCTTCTTCTTATTATTATTATTATTATCTTGTGTGAGTGCGGTCTTTTGTGAGTTATTTACTAAGTTTAAAATCAATTGTTGCAGTAAGGAATTTATCAAAGAGTACATTGCTACTCATTCAGAGTCACCAGGGCTTAGAGCTATGAGCATCTTTTTTGACTTTGGAACTGCTAGGTTTGTAGTTGTAACTCACTTGTAGCTGAACAACTAAATATGGCGATAATATAAGTACTCATTTGGTAGACAACAAAGGCTGCCTCAAATGCATGGAAGTCATTGAATCTTAAAGAGAAGGAAAAGTATGATAGGCATGCACGTGAAGTGTGGGATGCCTACTTGTGTTCGGGTGCTGCTGCCCCTGACCCCAAGCCAGGGAAACAGGTAAATTCTAAGCACTTGGATTCATTTGTTAATACATGTCAATAGTTGATGAATCTTGATGTTGAAATTAAATCATGCAGACTAAACTGGTAACAAGATGCTCTCCTGGTCGCTTATTCAATGTGTTACAGCGTCTCACACCTAAACAGAAGGAGTCAGTATGGGCTTTGGCAGCCTCCTTGGCCTCAGATGTCGAACTCTTTGTCACAGTTGGTGTCTTTGGTTATTGGAGAGATTTGACACTATTCATTGCAGCATAGAGATCTGTACTGTGCACATGCCATTAACTCCAAAAGATATAGAGATAGTATTGGGATTATCAGCCAGTGGTAAAGAAGTGGTGAACTCTGGTCCAGAAGACATGATTTCGGATTTTCGTAGCAGTTACAATCCCATAAATCGTAGAATTTCAGTTCGACTTTTAGAGGAGCGGTTGGCAACTGCAGAGGCTGGGGATGATTTTAAGAGGTCGTTTGTTCTGTATGTTCTGGAAACTCTTCTGTCCCCAACAGCTAGGCTGGATGTTATGCTGGATCCCACCTGAGAAAAGGAAATACGAGCACTTCTTGATAAACTCCCACCTGAGACTATTATGCTGGATCCCAGCAAGATTGGTACGGTAAAACCAAAAAAAGAGAGGCCAACAAAGCAAGAGAGGGAGGCTGAGATAGAAGCTGCCCTTGAAGCTGCTAAGGGCATGAAACTGAAGAAAAAGACAGAAGGAAGAAACAAGCCAGGTAAAAGGATACAGAAAAAGCAAGAGGCAGTTGCTAGGGTGAAGAGGCCCTACTTGGAGCAGAAAATTCAAGAGGAAAACATATCTAGATAGAAGCACAAAACTAACGAGGGTGTTGAACTACCAAAATCGTTACAGCGGTTTGCTCGTAAAAAAGCATCATAATGATTTAATTTTCCATCAGAGTTTTGTGCTCTTTATTACTGTCCCTCCTTTTAATTATAAGCTTCTTAAATTTTTTGTTTACCTTCATATTTGTAGCCTCTTAGCCTCGAAGTTGACATTTTTTTTGCCTTTCAAGGAAGGGCATTTCCAAATTTTGCCTTACAGACCCCTTTATTAGAGCTTTTTTTGAATACTAAAATATCTTCTTTACCTAGACAAAAAAATTGATTGGAAAACTCTCTTTTTCAAGTATTAATAATTCATTTGAATAAAATTGGTGTCTGGATTTGTGTAGTGGAGCAACTGTCACACAAGTGTACCCTCACAAAAAATAGGTGACAGTTACACTGTACTACTTGAAAATTACTTCAATTATGTTTGAATTGATGGAAACATATATTTGTATTAAAACATGTGCTTTCCTTTGATTTTTGAACTTTCTAAAGTAAACAATAATGTAGCAATACTCCTCTAAAGACCAAAATTGTTAAAATCAAGTGGTGTTTTATATTCACTAATACAAAACTTGGTGCTATTACTAATATAACATAACTAAGGAGAGGGAAATACTAGCTTGCTAGATCTAATAGTGAGGATTCACACTTCATTTGAACACTCATTTACCCTTTAAGGTTATTGTGCCTTACTGATAATATATAAATTATTTGTTAGTGCTACTACCACATCACATCAGCACCATACTGCAACTTACACTACAAAACATGACAACCAAAATATACACAAAGAAACCTGAATATGCCAAATCTGCACCTCCACTTTTGTATCAAATTTGTAACTTCTAGACATGATCTTCTATTATTGCATCAAATTAGACCAAAAACACTTCATTTGATGCTGTCCTTAGGTACACGTGCCCCATGTGAAGAGTTTCATGTTAAGACATTGGTCAAACCTCAAAGATTCCACTTCCACTTATGCATTCGTTTGAAACAATAATATATAGTTTAAAAAGGAACAATGGTCGCTGCTTGATACGATGAATTTTGCTGAAAGCCTAATCTAAAAGTGTCAAGACATCATGAAGTATCAAATGATGGTCCCTTAGAACAACACGGTACCCTCCATCACAAGTCATAAAAAGTGCCTTTGAGATACTGGAATTTCTGTACTTCCCTTTTATTTCCAGTTTAGGTTTTATTGTAATTTTATTTTTGAATAACAGATATTTTTTATTTTTTTCATTTTCAAACCTATTATATATATTGTGAAATTTAAATTAAAATAAAGCCATATTTGAAAGAGAAGATAAAGAATTCATACATTTGTCACGCAGCTTAACTTTCAGGTTAGATAAGGGAAGGAGGGAGGCAGAAACTGTCAACTTGCTTCTATATTCCTAATTTCCAATTTATAATATTTATTGATTGTACTTTCCAAGGCATTTCAAGTAATACGCAAACTTTTGTTCTTTTGTTTGTCTGTGTTCGTTGTCTGTGTCCATAATAAAACAATACAAAGTATGGCAAATAATGGTTATAAAGTAATGTATGGTACTAAATAAATTGAATAGCAGCTATGAGCAGAAGAAACTGCATTTTGTTCCTTCTTGTAGTGAATGGATCCTAGCCAAGTGGAGTAATTCTGAGAAAAAGAAAAGGAGTTCCTTTATGAATTAGGAACAAAGGTGCCAACATAGCCAACCCCCACAACAAAGAAGGCAATAGATTGCAGGAAAAGATATATAAAGTAGTGGTTCCGCCCATACATAAGATCATAGCATCCACAGAAAAAGAGGTAGGCCCCCACTAGAAGTTCCGAGAAATGAAGCCTGTTCATCATCAAAAACTAATTAGTGAAGGTGAAATAGTGAATGCTAGTTATGAAAATCACATATTTAGTTGCTTGCAAAATTATTGCTATCAAGCAAATGTACACGACACCAAATTTCCAACCTGAGGAAATAAACTAAACTCATCCATGTTGTTCAATTCAATCTATGGGGCAAAAGATGTAAAATCATAATCTCTTGGTGATTTTTCAGCGATAAATGATAACAAGTCAATAAAAGTAGCGTATTTTCCATGTATAGGTGTACCTTTCACCAATCTTGATACGAGGCTTCCTAGCTGCTTTGCCACCTGATTTTGTCTTTAGGGCATCCCCCAATTTCTCAGTGACTACCCATTCATTTACTCTCCCAGCCTCTAGCAAACCTGTAAGTGTTGCCTTAGTCCTATGCATTGACATAACATTTTCAAAGAGTATCCAGAATACCAGTAAGTGGATTGACCTGCACAAAATGTACATGACAGGTTACTAAAAATTAAGACAAGAAAAACTTGCCTGCAAAAAATTGCCAACCTATAATGCTTACCGTGGTGTTCCAACTGCATTGAGGAGTGTGATGATAGAAGGTATATACACAGCACCCCACTTAGGGATTTCAACTTCTGGAACTAGAACAGTTGCTGGCATAATCACACAGTAGAATACAAATGTGACCACATGAGCTACGATTTTCCGGACAAAGAAGAAACTATAAATCACATAAAACTTCTTCCACATGGAGACTTTCTGCATGGTATGGTAAAAAGGGAATTAGAAGAGAAGATGGATACTAATATAACTTGACCTCTTCAAACAAACTCTGGAAATTGAATGTTACAAGGAAACTGATACCTTGTTTCTCATGATTTCCGTTGCCATTTTCTTGAAAAGATTAGCTGGGCCACATGACCACCGGTGCTGCTGATAACGAAAGGCTTTGAAGGTACTTGGCAATTCACTTTTCACCTAAATTTATTTTGATAAATTGTTATAGAAAATAAATAATTCAGTATAGGAGAGAAGACTCAACAGAAACTTGATGTACAAACGAAATTAATTTTTGTACAAACTTCTTTTCTAAATTACTTACTGAACTCACACTTTAGTACAACACATGCAGTTAATGATTCAGTCATACCTTTAGATCACTAAGATACACAAATTTCCCTCCTTTGAGACCAGCTCGGACAGCCAGATCCATATCTTCCACTGTTGTGCGGTCCTTCCATCCACCAGCTTCATTTAATGCTGAAATTCTCCACACACCAGCTGTGCCTGCAACATATAATCTACATTCACATGACTGTTTCTACTACCCAATGAAAATATTTGTACCGTTTATTAGGGAAATGACTTACCATTGAAACCAAAGAAGGCATAGGTTGAGGACCCGACTTCCTGCTCCACAAGGAAATGATAGTCCAATGACATCTCTTGCATTCTTGTCATTAAGCATTCATCAGCATTAACTGCCATACACAAGGTATATTACTGTCACACTACACCTTCCCAAAGGCAGATATCTACATTCTACATTCTGACAAATTTCTATCATGTGAAGTGGAAATTATCTGTTTTGTTAGATTTTTGTAGCTAAGACATTGGTGTGGGACCTTTCTTTCTTTATGTAACTGCTGATCTGCTTTAGCCAATTTACTTTTGTTCTACGAAACACTAACACTCAAAATGGAGTTGTGTCGATATCAAAATATTTTAAATTTTAGAGTGTTGTTGTGTGCTGTGTGCATGTATCTTTTCTGAGCTTCTTAGCTTCTATTAGGTAATTGGATCTTTAAATAAATCTTATTTTTTAGTCCATTGGTTAAGTCTGGAGATGATGCTCTAAGAATTTCTTTTAACGTTCAGGATTGGACACTTTTGAGAAGCCCAATCTTTGTCTTCAGACTGCACTTTAAGCAATGTCTTGACCCAATGCAGAGTGAAGGAAGAGTTTCATATTATTTTAAGTTTGAACTATTCATCTACCATGTTATTTTTCTGAAGAGGGAAAAAATTCTGAGTTTATATATATATATATATATATATATATATATATATATATATATATATATATATATATATATATATATATATATATATATATATATATATATATATATATATATATATATCAATTTATAGGTATACCACTTTAATAAAATGATACACAACTATATAATAGGACTAAGGAAGTTTAAACCAAACACCTATGTTTTGACTCCAGATCCTTTCCTGCAGAACACCTTTTTGATTTTAAGTTTTAAAGCAAGCATGCAGAAAGGAGTTTCATGAAGTTTTAATGAGAAAAAATTACCAAATTTCCATCGAGCTTGGACTAGTGCTACTTCTGGGTTGTGAGCCAGAAATGGTATTGTGCGCCAAAGGAAGTTAGGCTCAGGTTGGAAATCTGCATCAAAGATAGCCACATAATCACACAAGTTCACATAGCTATGCTTCATGCCTTCTTTAAGAGCCCCAGCTTTGTATCCATTTCTGTTCTGTCTGATCTCATACTTTATGTTTACGCCTTTACTGGCCCATCTCTGGCATTCCACCTCCACCATTTTCTGGGTATTTTGGTTAAAGGAACAAAGAGCTTGTGTGAGCACAAAGTACTGATCAGAGCATAAATGAATAGAGTTAATTTTTACATGGATTTTAGTCATGCTTTGTTGGACAAATTGATGGTCACCATTTCTCTTTACCGTCTAAGTATTGAGAATCAAAAGCATGACTTCCACAACTGCGTTTCGAGAAGCCTTGGATTTTCTGACAGAAAGTAATTTTGTTCTTAAATTTTGTTGTTTTGTGAAGGAAAAGTTTCCATGCAAGTTGACCTAAATTATGACTAAGAGCAAACTTGTGTAGCCCTTAGAGAGTACAAAAGGGCTTTTGATGACTAAGGGAAAAAGAAAGAGAAATGTTAAACATAGTTTAATTGTTGGAAGATAAAGGAGAAAATTGTCAGTTAACTTTATTAGTAGGGATAGATAATTTCAACCTTAATGATTGGGTCAGTGGAATCATCAAGAACTTGAATTATAATCCTATCAGACGGCCATGATAGCCCACATGCAGCTCCAATTGATAATTGATACACCTGCAAGCAATGAAACAGTAGCCACAAAAAAATTTAGTAAGAAAAGCAATTCTATTCAAAGAAACAATCCATGTCACACAAAAATTTCCTTTTTTTATGGTTTATTAAAGCAGATAACTTATCAGTAGTACCTCTTTCTCATTGTACATTGGAATTTGTACCAAGACCATTGGGTATGCAGAGTTTCCAATCTCAAGGTCATCCCTGAGTGGCTCCCATTTATACTTCTTATCTGGCTTGTACCTAAACAACTTCACAAAGATTATGACTATACCCATATAAACTCTCTCCACAAATAACATAATTGACATGGCTAGGCACAAAGCCACTAGCAATTTCAGCACTGGAACCACAAGGGGTGCCCTGCCTGCCATCATAATGCATGCTTTCAAACGTAGCTGCTGATGAAAGCCGATCCATGTGGTGGCTTTCTTTCGTTTCCTTTGGAGAGCCAGACAAATTGCACAAGTGCAATGGTGTGAACTATATAAAAGAATGTGGTATCACTCGCTAACTGTTTGTGCTTGATCTTGGTGGCTTTGCGAAAAGAACACGAATTGTTTGTAGTTTTTTCACTTTTGGTCACTCACTCAGTGATTATTCCTTAGGAGTTACGTTAAGGCAATAAGGAAGAGCAAGAGACTAGAGTCAGAAGGTACATTATAACAATCTGCTAAGAAAGTAACAATGCATTTACACTGAGCACTTGCTAGATCTGCTCCATGTGCAAGATTTTGTGACAACAACCTAACGTATGTTGCAATGCTTTTCAAACTCTCTTTCTCTCTCTCGTCTCTCCGATAGTTTATGATCAATGAAAGAGAGATAGAGAAGGGTATATGGTGTCTTGAATAGAACAATGTGAGAAGTATTATTTATATATAAAAAATTGCAGCACTTGTATCAAGGGAAAGAGAAAAAATTGCAAAACACTTAATGATGACATGAATGGATTATGGACACAGCTTCCTTGAGAGTTGAAACCAGAAATGAGTCACAATCCAGTGGCGTTTGTAGACATTCATGTGTCTAACAGAATATTAAAAATATGGAGCAGTGCTTTCCACAAAGCCAGTACGTATTATATTTTTTCATTGAAGTTTACATTAATGTTAATACTTTTAAAGGTCAAATTAATATGATTTGCATCTTTATAAGAAACTAAAGTGAATACATACTAAAGTTTTGTATGTAAGAGTATTTGAAACTATTGTGTGAAAGTGGTATTTATATTACTCTCTTTTTCTTTTCCAAGGTATTATTTATCTTTCTCATAGGTAGCTTTGTTCAGTGCTATTGGCAAGAAGCTTGAAATTTTCAAATTTGATTTTGGTTCCTTTGACATATGCAATTATAAGAATGTATTGTTAAATTAGACAAAGAGGAGCCAACAAGAACAAGTGTACTTGGTGGTTGATATGTCGATATATTTATAGGTCTCAAGTTCTATTCACCTTAATTGTATATCGACAAATTTGACGCTAAAAAAAAATATACACCACAATTTTAATCAAATTATATGATAAATTGTAATTAATACCATCCGTTTTTTTCAAAATAAATTTAATTGAAACTTGACGGGTTATGAGATGTCATAATTCACATTGAAAGGCTACTTTAATGTCATCATAAATATATATTAATACCGTGGTGTAGTTTTCTTGATTAAAATGAGAAAAACGTATTTAAAGTGAGAACTTAAAAATGTGTTCATAATTAATTCATTTAAATCAAGAATTTTTACCAGTACTTATAAGATATCTTTATTCAAAATAAACAACAAATCCAGATTTTTATCAGGATAAAAAAATTAATTAGTGGTTATATTACTGCTTTAAAAAAACAGCTGCTCCATTTTTTTTAAGATTTAATTAATTAAGTCTCTCTTAGAAAAAGAAAACATTTTAGTATAATGGAATAGTCTACATTTATAGTTTTTACTTCTCATAATAAATGTATTGAGCCTGTTATATTCCACCAAAATGAGAGAAGTTATTTTCTAACTTTACCATAACTTCTTTTTAAAATTATTTAAAAATCAATCCTCAAAATAAAATAAAAAATATCCATTATTACCATAATATTTTCGAAAATTTAAATCCTAAAAGTATAAAACCATACTTACAACAAACACTTCTAATAGAAGAAACTTATCAAGTAAGATCCAAAAGTATGAAAGTATCATATAATTGAAATAAATAATTAAAATTACTTAAAACTTGATTATCTGTGTGTAATATATGATTAATATAAACAGCAAAAAACATTATTAATATGGTCGTAGGCCATTGCTTATTGCTTGTTTGAATGTAACTGTTGACACCATACCATGATACCACAGTGGGAAAGAGGTTCCAAATTGTGATAATTATTATTATTATTATCATGCATTGTTTTAAAAAAGTTTGTGGGTTTGGTTTTAATCCATTATGGATATCATATAAAAGAAGTACAACCATGGGCTTCTTAAAAGTCATAACTTTAATAATCCATCAATTTAAACTTCAATAATGCAATCTCCTTGCTTTATTTTACACATTGTTTCTTCATTCTTGCATGCTCTAGAGTTTAATGCATCACATCAATTCTATATTTAAATATTTTATAGAAACAAAAAGTTGTATAATGAATTTCTTCGTGTGATTGTAATATTTTTTACATTTTTAAGTTTGTTAAATCGTACTTTTCTTCGGCAATAATATTGTAGGGGTGATTTGTTTAAATCGAAAAGGGTGACAATTTCACAGAATCTGGGCTTACATATAAAATGAAAGAGGCCTAATGGGCTTGGATGTTGAAACTTTGGCCCATCTCTTGTTAGCGTCAACTGACACGATGTTTATGGTACTTTTTTACAACACAATGTTTAAGCTTTAAAAGAAAAAAAATGAGAGAATAAAAATGAAGGAAAATATTAGATCTAATTATTTAATTAATTTTACAGTAATGTATAATATTTCGTAAAATATTGTGTTATTTTATTATAATAATAAATATTTGTTACGTGGATTTATTATGAGATAAACTTTCACGTCATGTTTTTAGACGGGACATAATTATACTCAAAGTTTCAATATGTCTCGAAAAAATATTCAACATATATTTTTCAATTATGTGTGTAAAATAAAAAATTATAGTGCTTGTTTCTTGCCACTGCACAAAACTTTCTAACTCTCATTTTCTACCTGCCAATGCTGTTAAACATTTTAATATATTTTAGATAATTATTTTAAAAAGTGAAAAATATTAAAATGTTTTTTTGTCGTTCCATTAAAATTGCAAGATGCTGAAAAGAATCTAAAATCCCCTGAACTTGAAAAGAATAAATGTTATTCTACAAGATGAGTCGAATGAATAGAATATATAAGATGATAAAACTTAAGTGTAGTCAAAGTCAATAACGTACAGAAACTTCGAAAGAAAAAACACGACATCATAAGCATAAGCTAACTAAAACTTTGAAATATTGACCAATATCATTTACGAACAAAATATATCACAAGACAAGATTTTATTTTTGGTCCCTATTTATTCGGATATTCCCACTTTACTCCCTTCTTATTCTTCTTCTTCTTTTTTCAACTTGCATAACATGTCTTTTGCTTTTTAATTAAAGTGACATCAATATTTTTTGCTTAAGCATGAAGCAATTAATCAATTTTCTTGAGTTAGCATGTCTTTGATATATTATTAAATTGCTACAATCTCTTTCATTTTTTTTAAAAATTTCCTGTTCCAAACAACACAAAGTGATAGAATGTAATTATACAATGTTTTCTTATTCTAATAAAATTTAAGATCAAACATGTTTTTTATTATTGTATTTCTTTTAAAACGATTTTAATATTTACATTTTTTTAAGTTGATTAATTACGGATCAAATTTTTAAATTTTAAATGAATTCAGTTTTATTATCAACTCTGTAATAATAATACTTATATATTTTATTAATTTAATCATTCTAAATTATGTATCGATAATTAAATATTAAGTTTAGATATAAAACGATTAAGATTGTTTTTTTTTTAATAGTTAGAAGATGGAATTTATTAATTTAAAAATATAAGAATGAGATAAATTTTTTAAAATACATAAATACCAAAATGTACTTCTGCCAGAGTATAATTACAAATTGTGTTGCATGGAAAAATTCTTAGGACATGATTAGTTGTCTTGTGGAGAAAATTGTGAGGACACACAACTCAAACCACTAAATTGTGAAGAAAAATGGTCAAGATCTCAAAGCACTTTTTTGGTTTGTTCTTCCACAACAAAAAGCACTTTAGTTCTTTGTGGACCGTTAATATTATACATTTCCAGGAAGCTTCCACACCTTTTATAATTACAAGACAAATTAAAAAAAAATCATGATAATGATAGATATTTGTGAGAAGTTAATCTAAAATTTTAAGATATTAAATTATATATTTTTTATAATTATTTAATTTTCTTATCTTTAGTCAATGTGAAGTTTTAACTTATGTTCGGATTTGAAACAAACAAGACCAACAAAATATCGCAAAATCTCAACAAACATGATGTCTTTCGAGGTTAACTTGTCATGAAAGGTTAACACTGCTCTTTCGGTAATGTCGTTAGGAGAAGCTTCTTGCAAAAGTGAACAAAATTCCTTTGATTTTCTACCAAAATGCGTTGCCCTTTCACTTTGAATGAAAAAAGTGTAGAGCATCTTACTTTAGTGGGGTGGACCGCAGACAAATGCAATTGTGCATAAGCGGAAATATTTAAGTAAACCGAAAGATAGTAAAAGAAAAAATACTTCGTTAAAAGAAAGTATAAACAATTAAAAAAAAAATCAAAGAATTAGGTGGGTTGAGAAAAAAAGAAAGAAGAAGTAACAAATATATTTATTAATTAGCCTGTTATATATATATATATATATATATATATATATATATATATATATATATATATATATATATATATATATATATAAAAGATGCATAAGCAGAAATTAGGTGTCACAATCATGGTGTTTAGACTCTTATATTTTTAAATAGAGAATTATGCCGTGACTAGTAACTATAGTTTTTGTTCAAATGTTAAACGTTTAATCTAATAACTAATTTCGAACACAAGATCAAGAGTTTGATTTCTAATAAATTGATTCTTGCCGTTCATCAACTTTGGCTTTATATCCCTTAATTAATATTTTAATTAAGGACAATTTAAAAAAATGATGTTCTTTAATTTTTAAAGAAGTAAAATCATATTGAAATGAAATGGTATTATAAAATACAATTTAACTTTTTAAAAATTAATATATAAATCAAATTCAAAATTATCATTTCCAACCCATGATTATTCCCGTTTTACATATGGAAGATATTAAAATTTAAACTTTTTTTAATTGTTTTAGACTATTTTTTTACGGGAACTAATTTAATATTTATAAATAA